ATCCTTCTGTCCTATTCATCCTCCTTTTCTACCTAGTGTGCTGGGGTGGTTTGAAATGTATGAGAAGGAGCCCTACCAAAGGAGGGCAGAGGTCAGGTCCTTCTTGCAGAGGAGTGGCCTCCTACCACAGATAGTCAATGACCACAGTCAGTGATCTTCTCTGCCCAATGCCTGTGAGACTTCCCACAGCACAAGCAGGAAACACTTTTCTCTTTCTTCCTCTCACCTCCTTCCAACCGCCCATCCTCTTCCCAAGCATTCTGGGAAACCGGTGTGGGCTGCATCATGGGGCAGCCAAGTAGAGTTACTGTTTGGGGTCGCAGGATCACAGGATGATTTTCCTCGGTGGCAGATACTTGGGCTAGGGCTGCCCACAGTTTCTGAGTCTTTCTGCCCCTCCTCACTCCCCATCCCTCCTTCTCTTTGGAGGGTCAGAGATAAGTGACTGCCTCCAAACACAAGTGTTGAGAGACGTCACTATATAGTAGAGGTGGGGAGAGAATGGCTCCTCTCCAATCAGGCCAGGCATGGGGGCAGGAGTGCTGACTCATTCTTGCCTTTCAGTGTGTAGCTGGCCCTTCCAAGAGGTCTGTGAGTTTTGAAAAGCTATGTGTCCCCACCAGGGTTGCAGGGTCCCAGCTATGCCCCTTGCTATTCTGGAATGGACACATCATCCTGATGCTGCGGGTGCTGCAACCCCAGCACAAGATTGCCAGGACATGTTCACTTCAGCTTTGTATCCTCACCAGGCAGGAGACCTCATCTGTTTCCACTCCTTTCTCTCCTTCTTCCCCACCCATCCTCCAGCATCCCTCTTGACTGTGGACCTGCACAACCTTTAGTATTTCTTCTCTTGCCTCATCCTTCTGTAAAGGTGGGCTAAGAAGACCAGGGAGATGAGGGAGGCATGAGAGAAGGCAAGGGCTGTGGCCCAAAGCATTTTGTGGTTTCCTCCTGCTCTTGGGCAAAGGTACACAGAAGTCCCCTACAGGAGGACACTGCACTCCGTGGTGCCAGCTGATACTACCTAGGAGAAATGTGTCCTCTTTTGCCATCGTCCATGCTTTTTCCTCCTCTTGAAGGTCTCAGGCCAGAGCAGGGAAGATGTTGGCCAAGGAACCTATTATTGGTAGATGACACCTTAGCTAAAGGTTGTGAAAGAGGAGAATTAATAACTCTCACAGGCTTGTTACCATGTAGGCCTGTAGATCCTGTTTTCAAGGTATGTGATCAGCCATCAGTGACAATTTGCCCCAGTGACCACACTTCTGAAGATGAACTCATCGGCAACTGACACATGTCAGCCACCACTCTGAAGTTGAATATTAACACTCTCAACTCTGAAAAATCCCCCAATCCCTGAGCACTGTGCTTCTCAAAAATCTATGCCAGGTCATAACTGCTTTGCTCAAAGAGACTGTCTTACAAGCTCTCCAGTGCTTAAGCACAAAATAGATTCAGATTTTGAGTGGTCCTTTCTTCCTGCAACAAGAGGTTTTGACAAGCAAAAGAGGTCTCAGAGAATCTGGGTCTTCAGGGTTCTCTCAGCAGAGGCTGGCATATGCTGCAGAAGCCTATAAATGTAGCAACCAGCAGAAATCCCGGCCCAGTGCACTCTGTAAAATTAAGTAGTGTTTTTCCTGCCTTTATTGCTAACTTCATAATTGTTGGTTAACTTGTTAACTGACTTGGTTTTAGCTTACTGTTTGATCTATAAGGTAACTGATTTTAACAACTTGACTTTGATGACGAGCCTCTCCACCCTGTTAGGAGTGGGCCTATGATTCTGATCCAGTGCCTGGGCACTCAGCCCTGAAAGGTGACCACAGGGTGTGATCTGGATTCTGAGGGTTTGAGATGTACCGACAGGAGGATTCATCCCTCAGTTCCTCCTAAGAAAAACTTGAAGGAGAATTACTCTGAATTACTCTGAATGTCGGGGCAAGAGATTAGTGGAAAGAGTGGAGCCAGAGATGAGGGAGAGTTTGGCCAATGTCCCTGGAACAAAGGCTTCAGGAGAGTGGGCCACTGTGTCTCTGAGGCAAGACTGTAACCAGGCAAGAAGGAGGGGCCCAGGAACAGCTCCAGAGACACTGTTCCCCAGAGGAAACACTGAGCACACAGCCAGTGTGTTTCACCAGACCTCTCAGAAAGCCCTGTCCATGGAGATGCTGAGGGAGGCTGACCTATGGGGTCTTTCTCTTCCTTTCTCACAAAGCTGGTCTCCCATCCTCCAGTGACACAAAGGCAGCCACCAGGACACACTTTGTGGAACCCCCATTAGGCTACTCCCTCCTAGTGTCCCCTGGGAATCTCTATCATCATACTCAGGGTGCTATGTATCCCTTACCAGTTCACAAATGGAATGGTTAAGAGCATGGCAGCTAGAACCAGACTGCCTGGGTTCAAATCCCAGCCCAGCTTCTTAGCAGCTGCCTGACTTTGGGGAGTTTACTTAACCTCAATCTGCCTCATTCCCCATTTGTAAAATAGAGATAATGATGGTCCTGTCTGAGGGGGTTATTGAGCAGACTGAATGACAGCTGTAAGAAAAGGGATTAAAACAGGGCCTGTGCAGCCCATCCTCAGTTATCTGAGTGTTGGTGTTGGCTCTTGATTTAGGATAATTAATGCAATTCTACCTCCTTCCAGACTGTGGATTTTGTACTGTTAGGGAACTCAGCTGGTCTCGGCCTGTCCCAAGTGCCTGATGGGGTGCCTGGTGCAGGGTATATACCCTTGCCAGCTGAATAAATGGGTTGGTCTGGAAGATTACACTTTTCAGTGACCCTACAGAGCCTTGAAGCTGGCATCCAGATTCCTTAGCCTGGCACTCAAGGCCCTCTGTGATGGCCTTCCCATCAGCTACCTCAGCTCATCACACACCTCTCTGCCTTCCTTGAGGTATACCTGCATTTACGTCTCCCAAACTGCTTTTCATCCTACACCTTCATCTTCCTTACCTTCTCTTTCAAGGCTCAGGTCAACTGTCACCACCTCTGAGAGGCTGTCCCCTACCTGGTCCCTCTTCCTGTCCAGGGTCTAAATTTCACCTGTGGCAGGTGTAGGTGTGTGACAGAGGTGCACCAGAAAGGCTCTCCTTATTACAAAGGTTTAGTAATACTCTTCCCCATCTTGAAGGGAAACCCGAAGATAACCTAATACACATAGAATTAAAAATTAAAATCAAAATAATGACCTAATTGTAACAGAATGTATTCAAAATTAAATTATAATTCAATAATAACATGTGTTTCAATATGTAAATGTTTGAGGGCAACTGGGTGGCTCACTTGGTTAAGCATCTGACTTTGGCTCAGGTCATGATCAAGTGTCTCACTTTAGCTCAGGTCATGATCTCACAGTTCATGGGTTCCAGCCCCACGTAGGTCTCTGTGCTAATAGCTCAGAGCCTAAAGCCTGCTTCAAATTCTGTGTCTCCCTCTCTTTCTGCCCCTCTCCCACTTGCACTCTGTCTCTCTCTCCCTCTCCAAAATAAGTAAACATGAAAAACATTTTTAATTAAAAAAGGTAAATGTTTGGCTTGACTAAATAGAAAATATGATGAATAGTCATGCACTTGCTGGATATGTAAAATGTCTATAAATACAACAGCTACAAATGCCATTGATCAATGTGCTGTGTGGGCCATCCAGTGCTTCAGGAGGTAAGCCATTCTCAGTAAAGTAACCTACAATACAAAGTACCACCTCCCTTCCATCTTTTCTTTTTTTTTTTTAATGTGTATTTATTTTTTGAGAGAGAGAGAGCAGGGGAGGGACAAAGAGAGAGGGAAACAGAGGATCCAAAGTGGGCTCTGCAGTGACAGCAGCAAGCCTGATGTGGGGCTCAGACTCACAAACTGTGAGATAATAACCTGAGCCAAAGTCAGAAGCTTAACTGCTTAACCAACTGAGCCACTCAGGTGCCCCCACTCCACCAAGTTCCCTTCCATCTGTAGTGTAGCTGCCTTCCTGGAAGATGCAGTGTGTACTGTGGAAGCAAAAATGCCTTTGGCCTGCTTCTTTATGACTACACCCATCATTCCCCACAGCCAACTGTCCTGGTTTGCCCAGGACTGAGGGGGCTCCCAGGATGCAGAACTTTCAGTACTAAAACCAGGACAAATTGGTCACCCTTTATACCTTGAAACAAACCAAGACTAACTGGGTTGCTCTGTTTGGTTTGGCCCCCAAAATAAACCTGGATTGCCTAGAAAAACAACTTTCTCCTTGATTTTTGCAGTGCTAATATGCAGATATGTAACAACCTTTGTGAATATAACAATCATAACACAAACATGAATTTTACAGTTTTATTCCTTTAAATATTTTTTTACTTGATTAACTGGACTTTTCATGCCCACCTTCCTTGCATCTCTGCTCTATCCTCTCCAAGTATTCCTTTGGCAATATTAAAAGTTGACAAATGTGCTCTCGATTCGGATCATTACAATCTGGTTTCTTCCTTAGTGAAGGGCCTGCAAGACATCATGGGCATCGCATAGCGGCTCAGAGACCCGGTAGGACAAGGTTCTGGCATCTCTGGCCCCGCCCTCTGACGTGCGACGAACTACCCAGACCCATCCCAGTCAGGACCACCAAAGTCCTCCCTACGAAATTTTCAAATCTCAAAAACCATGAGGGGGTTCTGTGAACTTGGACAAGAAAAGTAACCTTCATTCTCACTAAACCTCTAGCAGAAATTTAGCCATTCTGCATGGAGGAGGACACTTGTGGGGATGAGCACTGGGTGTTATGAGGAAACTAATCTGACAATACACTATTTGTAAAATAAATAAATAAATAAATAAATAAATAAATAAATAAATAAATAAAATTGGAGGGGGAAAAAAAAAGAAATTTAGCCATTCTTCCATGATGGGTGGAAGTAGCAAAGCTCAGCAGTGTTAGCAAGATTTGTGCTGGTGTCCTCAACGGAAACTACTGGTGTTTTCGAATCACGTGACAGTTATGCAAACACCTGAATTTCCAAATGACAGTAACATTAGCTCCGCCGCTGGGTCTTGTTTTCATGAGGGAGTGAAGAAGCACGTAAGCTGTATTTGACAATTTACAACACGATTGGTTTTCCTATATATGTATAAAAGGGACCATCGAGGAGCTGTGCGGGACGGGGCGGGGACAATGGCTTTGGGAGCCGGAGCCCGAGCCTGAAGGGGCCGGGCGCGACTGAGCTGAGCCGGAGCTGGGTGGGGAGGTCGTTGGTGTGGTGCCTTCCCAAAGCTGAGCTCTCGCTCTCCCCCGGTTGGCGCCAGGCCACCGACCCGGCAGCTGAGAACCCACTCCAGGGAAATCCACACCCTGGGGAAGCGCGCTAGGCTCGCGAACCCCGGCTCGAGGATCGTCGGGAACGCGCACGTCTGGACGCCGCCACGGAGAATGCTGCTGTTCCTGCAACTGTCGTGGCTAGTGCGGGAGCTCACCGCAGGTGACTGGGCGGAGAGGCGGAGGGCCTGGGGCAGAACCCCAGCTGTAGCCCACCAGGGCGCGGGTGGGGCTGGGGGAGGCAGGGATAGATAGGCCACTTCCGGGTTTGGGGAACGCGAATAGTGAGTTGGAGAGCCGACCCAGGATTGTAGGAGACGCTAGGCCCTGGGTTAGAGCGCCTGTTTGCTGTCTCCCACTGTGACATAGGGGTCTGGATTAGAGCATGCGGGAAACCGGAGGGACGCGGGGTGCTGGCGGTGACCCCGGCCTGGGACACAGCCGATGCCACACCTTCTTGGGGGTTCCCTTGGACACCTCTGTTGGACTCCACTCGGTTTCTGGGGCTAGGTCCTCCAAGAAGGCCCTGGGGAAGCTCTTGTGGGGTCAGGAATGTGAGAGCGACTGACACGCCCCCTGCTAGCTAGCTCCGGCCGGCGCCCGCCCTTCGCGGTAGGTCTCCGTGGAGCCTTGGCGACGCTCCGTTGGGTTACCCGAGCGTCTCCTAGCGTGGGTGTTGGGTGAGGAGGATTGCTCTGGCCTGGTCCGGAATTTCCATTCTTTCCCAATTTTAATTATTCCGGCATTAGTGGCTGGACCTGACCTCATCCTGGACTTCCCCCCCTTCCAGTCCCCCGGCTCCCATAGGGCACCGCCCACCCGGGGCGCACGTATGGCCAAACATTTATTAGCACAGACCTGGAAGTGTCCACCAGCATAGAAGTAACAATAGCTGGGCACCCTTACGCCGAGCTCTATTCTAAGTGCTTCACATACAAGAAGCCATTTCAAATCACAAAACACTTCTCAATTTACTGTTTACAGATTTAATATACGGCTCAGAGAAGACGCTAGGTGGCAGGATCAAAAGTCGGAATTTTTTTTTTAATGTTATTTATTTTTGAAGGAGAGAGAGACAGAGCATGAACGGGGAAGAGGCAGAGAGAGAGGGAGACACAGAATCTGAGGTGAGGTCCAAGCTCTAAGCAGTCAACACAGAGCCTGATGCACGGCTGGAATTTGGGAACAGTGAGATCATGACCTGAGCGTTTAAGTATAAAGTTTAACCGACTGAGCACCCAGGCGACCCAAAAGTCGGAATTCTTAACCTTTTTTATGCCTTAGACCTGGTCTTAGAATGTTTTTAATACATAAAATGAAATATATAGGATTGCCAAGGAATCTGATTGTTTCTTAAAAGCTATTAAAATCTTTTAACTAGAAATATAAGTGTGTGAGATGTAGTATGTATGCTTCTAAGTTAACACATTAAATAATGCACTGAATAGCAACAATTCCCAGAATTTGAAAGTAGTGAGAGTAAAGCACAGGTCCTGCTAATCCTGCTGAGCTTTGTCGCTTTCATTCATAATGAGAGAAAGGCTGAATTTCAGCCAGAGGTTAGTGAAAATAAAGAGGTTACTTTTCCCCTCCAAGTTGAGGCTCCCAAACTCAACAGGATGCATCTACAGGATTCAGCCCTCAGCTCCCCATGGAAAACACTTGAAGGACAATCACCTTGGATGTCTGGGAAGAAGATTGGGGGAGAGTTTGGTCCTTGAAACAGTGACCCCAATGGCATAGGCCACTGTGTCTTTGGGCCAATATTGTATAACCAGGTCACATACAGCCTCTGGAGATCCTACTTACAGCACCCCCAAGTCCTCGGGTGTGATATAGGAGCATATGGGTGATTCTAGTTCTGCGTCGCAGGAATGGTCATGAATGTGTGCACTTAGGCCCTGTAGCCATATGGTAGGGAATGGCTGGGGCTGATGTAGGGAGACGGGACCCCAAGCCAAAGAGGAGGAAAAATGTGGAGGGATAGCCCCAGGGGTTACCCAACTGTAGGAGGGAGATGGCACACAGAGTGGAAGTAGCCAGGGGTTTTCGGCTGGCCTGCTTACAACACTCCTGGATGCCAAGCTTTCCCTTTAGAAGCTAGGGAATGAGGAAGTGGCTTTCATGGGGGCAGATATCATGAGTGCTGCAGTGGGGCAGTTTGAAGTAGCTCAAACCTTAGAATCACCCAGAGAGCTTGTTGAGCTACAGAAAGCTGGACCCCACCCCCAGAGCTTCTGATTCAGTAGGGCTAGGTTAGGTCCTGCAAATTTGCATTTCTAGAAAGTTCCTAGGTGATACTAATGCAGCTGGTCCTGGAACCACACTAGATTCACTAGCCTAGAATCTTCTTCCCTCCTCAACAAACCTACTGCCTGGAAACTCACAGCTGGTGAGATCCCCTCCAGGTTTCAGCCTATGAGGCCCTTGACCCCAGCACCTTCCCACCCCAGGGTGTTCCTGGTGCCTGGTATTTCCTGTACAACACTCATCAGCCCTGCTCACCTTATTGGACCTACTTATTTAATTTTTCACCTGCCACCTCCTTGTCAGACCTGAGCTTCCTTGGGCCCATGTCTGTCTTGGTTTCTCTCTGTCCCCACACACACCCCCACCTAGCTCAGTGCCTGGCTCGGAGTAGGTGCTCAACAGATGTTTGCCAAACGAATAATACTGCAAGGGGAGAGGTCAGGACCCGCCCAGGTGAGCAAGTGGACAGATCTGGGCAGAGCCAGGCAGAGTCAAGAGAGCATGGCACCACCTGGGAGGTATCAATGCCTGCTAGTGTCTTCTCCTCTTCCTTTCAAACCAACTAAATGCATATCCATAGCAGAATTGTCAAAGCTTCCAGGAGGTGTGGGGGCAGCTGTGTGGAAACTTCTGGCAGAGATATGAGCAACCCAGCCCTGGCTTCCCTCTTAAGTGGAACAGCCTACCTCACAGAAATGCAGTAAAAATGCCATGAATTAATACTTATAAAGCTCTGGCACCAAGATTCAGAATTCAGCCCTGTTGATTTTACATTTGCATGCTAAGGAAGTTTCCAGTCATTCCTGAGGCAAGGTTCCCATGTCCTTCTTCCCTTCCAATGTGACTCTGTCATTTCATACCATCTCTCCAAGCAGACAAGGATGTGTAGGATGCTTATGCCTTGAGATTCATATTTCCTTTTTCCTTGTCCTCCATGCAGAGAGTCCCTGGGGGCTGCCTGTGGTAGCTGATGGCCCAGCTTCCTTAGCAAAAGTGGTAATGGCAGAACTGGCCGACCTGAAGTTAGAAAACAAGCCATGGCCTGGAGGTAAGGCTCAGCCCACATGCGAAAAAAGAAGGCAAGATGGCAGAGACCAGGAACCCCTCCTTCCAAGCCTATAGGAGGGCATGTCCAGAGTCTGGGAACCTAGTAGACTGTCTTTGCTCAGGTGGGCGACACAGAGGCCAGAGGGTGTCCCAGAGGGGGCTTCACTCAGGTATCTTTCCCCACCCTCATGCCCCCATACTCCAGCTCTCTTTTTCCCATGCTCCCTCTCCCTACCAGATAGGAAAGAACTAAAGCTAAGAAAATGATGTCCACAGAACCCTTCCTCCATGCCTATACTTCTTCTTTATGTTTATTACCTCACCAAATGCTCCAGTGGAGCAGGTCACAGATGAAGAAACCAAAGTCTGAAGCTGTGAAATAAGGTCACACAGTTAGAGAGTTGCAATCCACATGGATTGTAGGGAGGTGGAGCAGACACAAAAATGTCTCCAGAGGTTGGGGCCGGAAAGGGATAGGGCACTTCATCCCCCACCACAGTCAGAGAAAGAGGGAGGCTGTGCATAAGAGGGCAGGACTGCCCCTTTTGTGGGGGTGGGGCATTGGTGATGTGGACCAGTGACCAGGAATGAGCAGTGAGGGAAGGGGTGGCTGATGACACAGGGCCTTAGGCAGTAATGTGCATGTGGCCACTTAGGCCAAGTCACAGCATGAGCAGAGTCCCCTGGACACCTGTCATGTGGCCTCCACTTCTTCTTGCTGTGACCTCACAGTGCCTGGCACTGACCCCAGCCTGTCAGGGGTATTACTTCCAAAGCTGCAGAGGTAGCCTGATGATTGTTCAGCTTCTTTTGCCTTACTGTGGGCTGGAGCCCAAAGTATGAGGATCCCTCTTGGATCCAGTTAGCAAGTAGGAATCATGTCCCAGCTCAAACCATCCTCTTGGAACAAAAAGATGGGTATGGGCATGGGAGCATGTGAACTCCCACAGAGAGCAGGCTGGGCCCCCAGGACCATCCAGTAGGTGGAGTAGACAGCAATGGGATTTTCAGGGAAGAAGGAATGTTGGACTCCTCACTGGGTACGTGAGAGGTAGTACCTGGAAGTCAGTTGAACAAGGGGTCTACAATCATGAACTTGTCCTTAAATAGTTCTCTGACTCCCAGATGGGGACCAGATGCCAAGGTGTAGGCCATGGGTGAAAAGTCCAAGGCAGAGCAGATGCCAGAAACCCCATGGCAAGGAGGGCTAGTCCAGAGGCTATATCCAGGTCATTCCAGACACCATCTGGACAAGCCTGGGAAGGATTTGGGATCCAACCCCTTCTTTCACCCCTACTGCTACTACCTATATAGCTACTGAGTAACACCACCATTTTAATTTTCCCCTGTGTTATTACAAAAACCTCAAGAAAGCTACTGCCTCAGGACCTTTGCCCTTTGTACTGACTTTCCCTTCTGAAAACCTGGAATGCTCTCTCCTAGATCTTTACATGGCTGGCTCTTTCAGGTCTTTATTAAAGAGTTTTCTTTGCGGGGAGGGGTGCTTCCCTGTCTATTCTATCTAAAATTTTAAGCCCCACTCCTAACATTTTGTATATCTCTGTGTTATTTTTCCCTCTCAGAACCTATTGCTGTCCAGCCTGTCATACATTTTATTCATTTGTTTTGCTTATCCTACATTCATGTAAACTTCCTAAGAGCAGCCACTTTCCCGACATCCCCAGGGCCTCAGAGAGGGCCAAACAGCGGGTGTTCAGAAAGTACTTACTGTGTGGGGCAACAGGGAGGGCCCTGCCAGACCATATGGGCAAGGGTGGGTAGAGCTGAGGCCACTTAAACCATGTCCAGGGTGGTGTCTGTGGAGGGTAGAGAGTGAAGAGATGCCTTGGGGAGAATGCTGCTCATGTGCCCCCAGCCAGCCACATACTGTCAGTCTTTATAGTGTGTTCACTAAAGGGCGGGTGTGGGCTAGGGGACACCTTGAGAATCTGGATATGCAGTCTGGCCCTATTTTTTGCTACTGGTGTGAGCTTTGCAGGTGACTTTGCCTCTTTGGGGCTCAGTTTCCTCATGTGTCATAGACAGGCACAATAGTGGCACAATAGTATCTTCCTGATAAAATTGTTAAGAGAATTAATGGAGCCAAAAAAATTTTTTTTTTTTTTTTTACAAATAGTTTATTGTCAAATTGGTTTCCATATAACACCCAGTGCTCATCCTCACAAGTGCCCTCCTCCACTGAAGCCAAAATTTTATAAAGTGCTCAGGACAGGGCCCAGCACCTAAGTGCTTTAGAACTATTTTGTAATTAAAAAAAATAATACATTGATAGACTTCCCCTCATTTTTATTTTATTTTATTTTTTTTATATATTTTTATTTATTTCTAGGAGAGAGAGAGAGACAGCATGAGCAGGGGAGGGTCAGAGAGAGAGGGAGATACAGACTCTGAAATAGGCTCCAGGCTCTGAGCTGGCAGTCAGCACAGGGCCCGACGCGGGGCTCGAACCCACGAACCGCGAGATCATGACCTAAGTGAAAGTCGGACGCTTAACCAACTAAGCCACCCAGGCGCCCCTTCCCCTCATTTTTAAACAAAAGTAACCGGCCACTAAAGCAGCTAACATTAATAAATAGTAACATTACCTAGAAAGAAAATTGTGTACTTGCCCCAACGGAACAACCAGATGTGTGTTGCTCTCTTTCCTGCAGGCCTGAACTTGGATCACTTGTTCTTTCCCACCTTCCCACACCTAGGGAAGAGCATGTCAGCACCTTTGCAGCCTCTTTGCTTCAGTGATGGGAATACCAGGGTCCCTGCACCCTCACTCTGTGTCCCTTGGGCTTCAGTAATAGTGGCAGCTTGAAGACTGGCATAGCTTTCAGAGGACATCCCTCTTCCCAGAGTGTGTATCCTTCTCTCTGTTTCAGGGCAGCAGAACCTGCCCATCAAACTCATAAGACACACAGACTTTAGTCTCATCTTATGTGTATTTGTTTTCTATAGTTGCTATAACAAGGGGACCATGGGGTGCCTGGATGGCATTGGCTGAAGTTGTGATCTCACAGTTTGTGGGTTCAAGCCCCACGTCAGGCTGTGAGCTGACAGCTCAGAGCCTGGAGCCTCCTTCAGATTCTCTGCTTAAGATTCTGTCTCTCTCTCTCTCTCTTTGCCCCTTTCCTGCTTGTGCACATGCACGTTCTTGCTCACTAGCTCTCTCTCTCTCACAAAAATAATAAACATTAGAAAGAAAAAACAAGGGGACCATAACTTGGCAGCTTAAGACAACATACATTTATTCTCTTAGATTTCTAAAGTTCAGAAGTCCAAAATGGGCTTCACTGGGCTGAAACTAAGGTGCCATGGGAAAGCTCCCTACAAAGGCTCTCAGGAAGAATCCATTTCTTTGCCTTTTCCAGCTTTCTAGAACTTCATTCCTTGGCTCATGGCACATTCCTGACTCTCTGTTCCATCTTCATGTCTAGACTATCTTCTCTGATAGTCATGGAGTCTACCTCTGTCTCCCTTTCATAACAACACATTTATGGCCTGCCTAGACAATCCAGGATAATCTCCCCATCTCAAGATCCTTAATTTAATCACATCTACAAAATCCCTGTTACTAAATAAGGTAACATTCATAGGTTCTAGGGATATCTTTGGGGACCATGATTCAGCCTACCATACTGTGCTCCCTTAGCTGTGGAGGAGGCAGGACAAAAACTACGACATGCGTGGCTTCCCCTGCTACCCAGGAGGCCCAGCAGCTACCCAAGGGTACAGGCTCTTTGCCTTCCATCACCTCCAGGACAAGCAGAGCTGCTACAAATCAGAGCCAAGGAGCAGGTGGGTCACCTTAACATAGAGAAGCCACGGCCTCTGTTCCTTTCAAAGCCTGCATGCCTGTTCACAGCTCCCAGCCCAGGAGCATCCCACTAATCTTAACTCAGTGGTTTGCAAGGAAACAGCACTCTGAGACTCAGTCACCTCCCAGGAGGCCCATAGCAGTCCAGACCTGGTATAAGCTCTTCACTCAAACACTTTCAGCATTGATCCCTCTCACCTCCCATAAGGAGGTTTCACCAGTGCGAGAAGAGGGCTCCCTTGTCTTCTTCCTAAACTTAGAAAAAGCAGGCTTGAGGCACCTGGGTGGCTCATTCGGTTAAGCATCCAGCTTCGGCTCAGGTCGTGATGTCACAGTTTGTGAGTTCAAGCCGTGCATCGTGCTCTGTACTGACAGCTCAGAGCCTGGAGCCTGCTTCGGATTCTGTGTCTCCCTCTCTCTTTGCCCCTGCCTCACTCACCTTCTGTCTCTGTCTCTCTCTCTCAAAAGTAAATAAACATTAAAAAAGAAAGAAAGAAAAAAGAAAAAGCAGGATCTGAGGAGAGAATCCAGGCTCCTCTCTTTTTAGTACATGACTTTGGGTTCTGTGCTTGCCCTCCCCTGGGCCTCAGTTCCCTCATCTGTGAAACAGGGCCAGTCACACCAACTTCTTAGGTTTATCCTAAGGACTAACTGAGGCAGTGAATGAAAAGCAGTTAGACTGGTGCAGGGCACACAGCGGTCACTCTCCAAAAATGACAGCTCTGATCATCATCATTGCCCTTCATGTTCTTGTTTTCTGTCCAACTCAATAAATGCTGGAAGTGTCTACTGTATGCCAAGCATGGTGTTCTTCCAAGACCCATAGAAACACTAGTAGCACAGTCAAATGTATTGCCCACCCTCATGGAGCCCACAGTTTCATAGGGAGGCCAGAGACCCCTGAGGGATGTCTGGGTGGAATCAGAAGGGGTTCATGGAGGAAGGGACACCTGATCTTCAAACCTGAGGGTTGAGAAGACATTGGCTGAGAGGAGAGGGAACAGCAGGAACTGCAGGTACAAAGGGCCTGGGCAGAGTTTGATGTGGCCGTAAAGTTGCAGAAGGAGCAGTGAAGATGGGGATGCATTTGACTCCTCCCCTCACATGTGAATATTCAAATGTTAAGCACCTATTGTGTGCCAGCAGCTGTTACAGGCTGGGAAGAGAGAATGATCATTAAAAAAAATTTTTTTAAGTTTATTTTGAGAGTGAGAGCAAGGGGCAGAGAGGAAGGGAGAGAGAATCCCAAGCAGGCTCCATGCGGTCAGTGCAGAGCCCAACACAGGGCTCAATCCCACCAACTGGGAGATCATGACCTGAGCTGAAATCAAGAGTCAGATGCTTAACTGACTGAGCTGCCTAGGCACCCCAGGAGAATGACACTTACAGGAATCTCTGCCCTTGGGGAACAGACGTTACAGGGGAGAGACAGACTATGAACAAGATAAACAGGTAAAGTGCACATTTGCCAGGAGGTGGTAATAATGCTCTAGAGAAAAATACTGTTGGGAGTGCTGGGAGTATAAGTATTTAACAGAGTGGGCAAGGAAGGCTTTACTGAGAAAGCAGCATTTTTTAAAAATGAAGGGAGTAAGCCCTGGGTGAGTCTCTGGGAGTGAGTGTCTGAGAAAGGTAGGCTGAGTTTTTCTCAAAGATACAGCACTTGTTTTCATAGCTTGAGTCAGGCCTGGCTGCTAAATAGATTTCATCTCCAGCATCAAGTTGAATGGATGAGTTGGTGCTTCAGGAGATGGTGGAGAACAAACCTCAGGGCAGCATTTGGATGTAAAGAGAAGAAATAACTAGCACTGTCTGCTGTGGGAAGAGTAGTAAGTGGGGAGTGCAGTCAGAATGCCACCAACTTGGCAGCAATGGTTCAAGCCAGGAGTGATGGCTCAGCTTGATCAGGCGTCTCTGGGGGAATGAATAAGTTCACGTAAATTAAGCTTAAAAACAATCAATTTTTAAAATCCTCCCTTTCTTATTGTGATGGGAAACCATCACAGTACTCACAGAAATGAGTGTAAAGTATGAGTAAGTAAGCCCTGAGTGAGGAGCTGAGAAACTTCCTAGAAATAAAGTCAACAGCCCTGAGCATATAAACTTTGGCTTCAATGTTTGCTTGCTTGCCTGATTGATTGATTGATGCTTTAATTAAACTATTTGGATACCTTTTTTTTTTTTTAACTAAAATTCCCAGTTCTTGCTCATACTGATTAGCAAATACTCTGGATAAGTTTCCACTGCCAACCCCTTCAGTCACCCCAACCTGTGGTGCAGATCCTGGCAGTGCATAGGAGCCTGATTGTTTCGTATCTTCACAGGGACACACTCTCTCCACTACCACTACCTGGCCCTGTCAGAGCCAGGCCCAGGCCTTCCTCAATTTCTGGCTGTAGGCTACATGGATGACCAGCCCTTCATCCATTATGACAGTCATGTGGACAGAGCCAAGCCTCAGGCCCCATGGATGGCAGCTATGGACGCCCAGTACTGGGAAACAGAGACGCAGAAGCAGAGGGCCTGGGCACAGGTGCAGCAGGTGGAGACATGGACTGTGATGGGCTACCACAACCAGAGCAGTGGTGCGTCAGAGGCTCCTACCACCCTACATCCTCCTTCCTTCACACTCCGCATGCTGACCTCCTAGGCAGCCATGTCCTTCCATTCAGGAACAGAGGTCACTCCATTGAGCCTGTAAGAGGGTGCAAAGCATGTTCCTGATGCATAGCTTTTCTGCCACAGCCAAGTAGGGGCCATAGGGTCCTTCAGAATCAGTTGTGGCCCCAGCGGCCAGCACAGCAAGCATCCACAGAAGCTAGGGTCCCACAGTGCCTCCTGTTCAGATACCCAGGGTTCCACACCTCAGCAGACTGGCAGAGGCAGAGACTTTTCCCTTCCTCATCCCCTCATCCTCACCAAACACTTAAATCTCACCCACCCCCAGGCCCTCAGACACCAACTCTGCCATGCAGGGAGGGAAGCCCAATGAACTTGAACTAGGCAGACAGCTGAAGGTGAGAAAGAGAAGCTAATTAAAGACACCTGCTCTACCCAGTGTCCGTGAGGAATGGCATTCCTGACAGGCTTCCGCTTCCTTATCTCAGCAAAGGCTAGCTCATGCTCCCTGCCAGCTGCTGCTAATGCTGAATGTAGTGCTTGTGGAGCACTTGTTCACAGCCCTTTCCCATCCTGTGCCTGGAAACCCAAACAACTGATGCTGCAGTTCCCAGAGGCCTCAGAAGGAGTAGATGTAAAAGCACAAGACTGGGACAAGCTACACATTAGCCCAGGAGTCCCAGGATAATAAGCACGACTAGCCCCCAGGTGCTGTGGTAGCAGCCAGGCTCACATTTTAACACCTCTTTTACATCTCTGAAATTGGGGTGTGAAATCATCTTAACCACGAGTGTCTTTTGAGGACATCTTACATCCATAAGTAGCAGAGTTTTCCTTCTAATAATGATGCCTGTAGTTATGTACTCAAGTGTTCTCACATGAGAAGCCCGACAGGTTTCTCAGCCCTGACCTGCTTATGAAAATTACCCAGGGAACATTTTTTGCAAATAGCACCACCCCAACCCCCCTTCGGAGGCACCCATGGGTGGTGGGCTTCTTTCCAGCTCTCAGGGATTCGACCCATAGCCCATGGAAACCAGAGCCTTCTTGCCCATGTGCACAGGTATGCACAGCACTCAACGAGCGTTTGGTTGTGAGATCCAGGAGGACGGCCATACCAGCAGCTTCTGGCAGTTTGGCTTTGATGGGCAGGACCACCTGTCACTGGACCTGGAGACTCTGCGTTGGGTGTCAGCCAAGCCTGTGGCTGTGCAGACCAAGCGCTGGTGGGAGACAGAGCGCTGCTATGCCGAGTATGACAAGGCCTATCTGGAGGGCCTCTGCCTCACTTCCCTGCGCAGGTACCTGGAGCTGGGAGGCCAGAGCCTCACCCGGAAAGGTAAGGTGCAGCCTGTGGCAACACAGAGGGGCCCACACCCCCGTTCTCAAGGGTCTTGGAGGGTGAGGAGACAGGCTGTGTTCTCCTGGCTCAGACAAGCCCATTGGGCCCCAGAAAGAAGGCTGAGTAGCCAACGGCCTCCCCATGTAGGCAGCACAGAAGCCTGGATCTTGGGCCCTCATTCCAGGTTAGGTAGAATGGGAAGTTTATGCCACACAGTATGGTCTTGGCGAATGAGGCCCTGACTCTGGGCCTCATTTTATTCATGTATAGAGTAAGTAGGTTAAACTAGGTGGCCCATAAAGCCCTTTGTGGGTTTAACATTCTGTGGTTCTCCTTGGAAAGTGCACCTCAGGCCCCAGGGGATAGCACCCATCACTAGGCCAGTCCCTGGACTACTGAAGCTGAGGCTCTTCACCCCCACACCCCTCATGCTAAACATGCTCCTCAGACTCTAGGTGCATCCCTAAACTCCTGACTGCAGCCAGCAGGGCTGGAGATACAAGGACTAGGATGGGCCCTAGGGAAGGTGAGTGCATGCCTCACCAGCTGCTAGTGGGTAGGGCTGGTCAGAGCACCCAACACACCATGGGTATTTGGTGATGGAATGGTGGAATGTGAATCAGCTGAGGCAATGGGAAGGCCATTCCTTCAAGGGAAAGCAGGGCAAATAACATCAAGAGAAGATGTGATTATGAGAGCCGAGTGTGGGGAGGTCAGGGCTCAGGTACCGGAGCCTAGCCTGAAGATCCACATCCTGGCTCCAGGACTTGCTAGCTGTGTGACCTTGGGCAAGTTACTTGCCCTTTCTGTGCCTCAGTTTCCTCATCAGTATTGCAGAGATGGTAATAATAGCCCCTGCCTCCAAGAAGCACCATATTGGTGTCTTAAATGATGTTGAGCTCTCATCCAGCACCAGGGGGATGTTCTACACACATATCACCTGATGGATTAGTCAGGAATCTCCACAGAAACAGAACCAACAGGATGTGTTTAGAGAGAAAGAGAAAGAGACATATTTAAGGAATCCGCCCACGTGACTGTGGGGGCTCAGGAGTCCTAAGATCTGCAGTTGGCAAGCCTAGAGACCAAAGGGAGCCAGTGTTTCAGTTTGAGTCCACAGGCAGGAAGCCTCAGCTGAAGATAGTCAGGCAGGGGTAATTCCCTCTCACTCAGATTTTTTGTCCTGTTCAGATCTTCAAGTGATTGGATGGAGTCCACTCACATTGGGGGCAGCAATCTGCTTTACTGAGTCCATTGATTCAGATGTGAATCTCACCCAGAATAATACTTGACCAAATGCGTAGGCACAGTGTAGCCCAGTGAAGTTGACACATGAAATGAACCATCTCCCCTGGATTGTCATTTGGAACAACCCTGAGAGGAAAGAACAAAGAATCCCCATCTGGCCTGTGAGACTGGGGGATTGTGGACAGGAGTCAGGCTGGGCTTCAATTCCAGGCTGTCTGGCTCCAGAGCTACACTCATGACCACCTCATTCCAAAGTGAGGGAAGGACCACCATTCTTGTCTTCACTTAACCTCTTGCTAGGCACCTACCATGTGCAAGAAGTCACAGGTGAAGTATGTAAAGTCTGAGAAAACCAAAAGGTTTCTGTGGGTAGAAGGGGGTTGTCAACACAGCCAACAGCTCCATCCAGGACCTCCTTTGAGGTTAGAGTCAGGAAGTCACATACTCCCCTATGGAAATTCGCAAGAACATCCCCCTTTGGAATGGTTGGCAGTGGGTCATCCCTTCCTCCAACATTGGTTGAGTACCTCCCCTGGAGAGAGACCTTGTCTCCATCTCCTGTCTTCCACCATGGAAGATGCTAGAGGAGCCCAGGATCAGGCATGAGGAATGAGCACATAGCAGCTTCTCACTAGCCTTCCTCCCTCGACCTCTTTCTGCAGAGCCTCCCACAGTGCAGGTGACAAGACACACAGCCGACGACGGTGGCATCACACTGAGGTGCTGGGCCTGGGGCTTCTACCCACGGGACATCTCGTTGAGCTGGTGGCTGGGGGAAGAGGAGCTGGTTCAAGAGACTGAGTATGTGGAGACACGCCCCAGCGGAGACGGTACCTACCAGACATGGACGGCTGTGCGGGTGCCAGCCAGGATGGTGAATGAGTACATTTGCCATGTGCAGCACTCCAGCTTGAACCATACTCTCACTGTGGCCTGGGGTGAGGAGATGGGCTTGGAAGAGGGAATGAGGAGGAGCAGGGGAGTGTCCCAGGGAACCCAGAGACAGTCCCATAGCCTGGGGCTGGTGCCTCCTCTTCTTTGCCTACCTTAGAAGCACCCTCTCATCAGTGGATAACCAGTGCCATGGTTCTCTCCATCTTCACCATCACTTTCTTGCTGGTGGCTGGAATTTTGATCTTCATCAAGCAATACTCTCAAGGTAAGAAGAAAAGAAAAAAAAAAGTGGTAGAGGGTCCTCATAGCCAGCCCAACCCTGTAGGGAGAAATGCTCTGCTCCCATCCCTTCCACCAGAACTGTTCCCTCCTGTCCCTGTTTGTGGAAAAGCCCAAGTACCCTCACAGAATAGCCATACATTGCCCTAAAGACACTAAAGATCACTAGGCCAGACCTTCAAAAGGCCCGAGGGGAGAAGAGGAAATGGAAGGTGGGCACCCGAGACCCCACCTCTGCCTACCACCCACCTAGTCTCTCCTTTTATGTTCTTTTTCCCATAGCCAGGAATAAGGAATCTTGCAAACAAGCCCCAGGTGAGTGTGGGATGGGTGGGTTGGGGAGAAGAAGCCCCACGTGCTCTCAAGCATGGCTAAGATGCCTGAAAACCAAAAATGGAGGCAGGGTGGTGGGTGGGAGCTTTCAGTCTCTAGCATGTCCTCATCCCTCGCTCTCTGTTCCCTCCCACCATCTGGGAGCCAGATGGAGGGGGCAGGGAGCACTCCAGGGAGCCACTGCTGAGTTTCAGGAAGAGCTAGGAAGCAATCTGGGTCACGTCCCTACTTTCTCTCTGCAGATGGAGAGGAGCCTCATAATTCCCAAAGCCCAATCATCATGGAGGCTGCTCAGCTGCTCTGCTGACACAAGTTCACTGTCACAGATCAAGGAAGTGTTTTATAGTGTTTGGGGGCCTCCAGCATGCTAGCTGGCTGGCAGTGGTGATCCAACTGTGAAGGGCCCACCGCACCCCAAAACAGCCCTCCTCAGCTCCAGCCTCATCACAAGAAGTCTGGGCCACTAAGATAGATTTGCCATCTTCCTGAAGTCCTTTTAAAAGTAATGGTCTCCAGTTTGGAGGGTGGGAAGGAGGGCAGTATAATTCCACAGATCGGTTCACACTTGACAATTTGCACAATAATTTCATGTTAAGTGTAAATCCCACTTGAGCTTCTCAGGTACTCTGTGAGTTCAGTGGTGGTATTCTCACCTCCAATTCCCCAACATGAAAACCATAGCCACGGGAAGTTAAAGAAGAACCAGAAGAACAGTCAAAGAGTTATGGGGGCAGCATCCTGCATCCATCTGCTGGCAGCTGGAAGAAGTGGCCAAATGCCTACCTCCTTTTATAAGTGTGTTCTTGTGTGTATGTAAATTTTCTTTTATAAAGAAGTTTGAAATGTTGGGGGTGTGTGAGAGTATGTGGTTCCAGGAGGGCGAGGATGGATGTGTGAGGGTGTGTAGGGAGTGATGGTGTGTGAGGGTATGTGTGTGGCAGGGGGTGTCTTTGTGTGTATGAGAAGTTCAGGGGGACAGGTGCCCAGGGAACTGTTGATAGCCCAGGACAGCTGAAGGATGGGAAACAATACAGTCAGTATTTTCCATCCTGTCCTCTTCAATGATTTGAATTTTTACAATAGGCCCGTGTTACTTTTACAATAAGGGGAAGAGAAGTTTCACTATGTCCTGTGGAAATGCTTAAGTATTCTTGTTAAGGGTGTGTCTGGGGAAGGTCTGGCCTCACCTTCTCCATATTTCAGTGGAGCAGAAACCCCATGTCTCCTTTGTAAATAAGAATCTCTTGGAGAGCACACAATTTTGTTTATTCAGAGAACAATTCCAATCTCACGGCCAGCTGACATGCAAGGGGAGAGGACTCCAGAGCCACAGCAGAAGGACCACTCCACTGGCATAAAGGATACAAGCCTGGGCCCTTCACAGGGCACCCTCTGCCTCTCCGTAGGACCCCAACACATGACTGAGCCTCTTGTGGAGACTTCTTTTTTTTTTTTTTTAATGTTTTATTTATTTCTAGGAGAGAGAGAGAGACAGCGCGAGCAGGGGAGGGTCAGAGAGAGAGGGAGTCACAGACTGAAACAGGCTCCAGGCTCTGAGCTGGCAGCCAGCACAGAGCCCGACGCGGGGCTCGAACCCACGAACCGCGAGATCATGACCTAAGCGAAAGTCGGATGCGTAACCGACTAAGCCACCCAGGCGCCCCTTGTGGGGACTTCTGAAACCTTCATGTCTGAAGCCCTGTGAGGCCCCAAACAAAGGATGTGAAAGATTTATGATACTAGAAAGAGTCAGCCTGCCCTGGTGGCCTGAAGGACCTCAGCAGTGAACTTGTAACTATCTGATTGTACTGAAAATGTGTCTTAAATGTCTGTCTGCCTGTCTTAGTAATGCCATCATGATCCATGCTGTGCTAATCACATTCAAAGCAGAGTTCTGAGCACTTTTACATGTACTAATCTGTGTAATCTTCATAGCATGCCTCTCCAGGACAATTAATAATCCTGTGCTACAGGTGAAGACATTGAAGCCCAAGGTCCTATGGCTGGTTCATGCCAGAGCCAGGATATTAGGTCAGGACGTCTATGGCTACAGTCTGGGCACTTCACTACTGCACTGAAAACCTCAATGACAACTGTGCCAATCTGTAAATGGGTAAATAAGTACAGGTCTGCAACCCTTTATCTGCAATCCTGAAATTCAAAACTGAAAACCAGAAGTTCCTTCCTTATTTTGGCATCAAAACCCAAAGTGAAGTGAAGTGAGGCTATTTGTAGGCCAGTGTGTCTTTTCGCAATTTTCCATAAAAATATTGATCTATTTGATTATGGGGTATCTCCCCAACCTCTGGAGATTTGATGTAATATTCAGGATCTACACTTTGTCATTTTCTTTTTTTAAAAAAAATATTTATTCATTTTTGAGAGACAGAGCATGAGTGGGGGAGGGCCAGAGAGAGAGAGAGAGACACAGAATCAGCACAGAGCCCGACGCGGGGCTCGAACCTACAAACCGTGAGATCATGACCTGGGCTGAAGTCAGATGCTTAACTGACTGAGCCACCTAGGTGCCTCTACACTTTGTCATTTTCTAAAGCCCAAGAATTTTAAATTCTTAAATACATCTGGTCTAAGGGGTTTCAGGTAAGGGTTTGTGGACCTGTATTAATAAGGTTTTGTGGTAATAGATATTTTATTTTTACACTTGTCTGCTTGTACAGTGAAAATGTTGGGGCACAAGGTGGATCTGGCCCACACCAATGGAAGGCACAAGCACCTGGCTGACCTTTGAAGATGTGCCTAGGATTTCCTGAGCAAAGGTCAAAACTTCATCCCTGACGAGGATGAGGGCCCAGTGTATTTGTGGAGAAGTAGATGGGAGGAGGCTCTCATCAGTCAGTCTCACTTTGAATTGGTATATCTGTGTCACATTTCTGTCCCCCTATCCCAAAGACTTCAGGATCCTTCATCCACAGCTGACCTTACCCACCCCATCCTCCAGCATTGGTCCCACCTGGGAAAGCATAGGCCTTAGACCAGCAGCTTGTGTGGCTCCTTTGATGCAGGGGGTTTGTAAACCCCCATCTCAGGGAGACGTAGACAAGGTACTTATCCCACTGACACTGGTTTCTATAAGCCTGAGCCCTGGACAGAATGGGCTAGAATTTCCTGTTCAGTTCTGCACATCTCTATGTGTTAGAACTCTGAGCACCTCTGGGGCTGCAGGATTGTAGGACCATCTTTCTGATGAGGAGAGAGGCCATGGGCTGATATAGTTTCAGAACGGTGCCTACAGGCTAGCAACAGAGCCCCATCCACCTGCCACCCAAAAGATAGGGTCACTTCACTCATCAGAGTGGCCTCATTGGCTACTTGGTTTAGAAATTGCCTGAGGGCTTGGGCTATGCTGTCTGTATCTGCCCTAGCTATCCATTCCTTTTTTTTTACCTCACTTCCTTTTCCTCAACCTCCACCTACCTGATCTTCCCGGTAGCAGGGGACCTGATATCTGCAGGGAAACCTAGGGCTCTGGGGATAGGGCTTGGTAGACAAAAGAGTCTCCAAGAGAGGGGTGGCCACTACATTGTCCCCTGGCCTGGGGGGCTATTCTCCCCTTTCCTGAGTCCTACTAACCCAGCAACTTCTAGTTCACACCCCTGAAAGAATCTTGTTTTCCTGTTGCCAAGGGCACCATCATCCTGACCTTAAGGAAGTATCTGCTCTATAACTGGGTTATGGGATCTTTGCAACTGCACATCCCTTTAGCTTTATTTTGTTTCAATCATATTTCCCTTACAGACTAGTTCAGCGTTTTGCCCATGGAGCCATAAAATATATTTTAGACCTAAAGGGATCCCATATAGCACCTCTACAAGCCCCTGATAATTTGACACACTCTCCCCCCACAACCCCCACCATCATGCTGCCTCCCACTGCCTCTCATGTTAGAGTCCTTCCTGTCCAGGATATAGCTCTCTCCAGTGCACATCTCTCTTTCTCTTCCTCCCACACCCCAGGCACATATTGGTTTAAGTCTGGTACACCTGCAAAAACTGAGGCAAAGGAACATGATCCAACCAGCACCTCACAGCCAGGTAGGAGGTGGATCTGGGAGTCCTGAGTTTAATTCCATAGAGGGATGAACAGGCCCAGAAAGTAGGGTGGTCTCTCTTAATCAGGCCTTGCTCCTTCTTCCAATTTTTTTCTCTGCTTAGCAATGGCTGGTCAGTGATCTCAACCCAAGACGGGGCTCTGGACCCAGCTGGACCAGCCCAGATGTCTGCCTGCCTCCCTGGTTCTTTCCTCAACTACTCCTGCCAGGAGAGAAACTCATGAGAGAAACAGAAGGCAAACACAGAGGGAGTTCATCTGAGCCCTAAGTGTTCCCCTGGGTGGCCCCTGATCACTACCACAGTCTTAGGCATAGACAGAGCCAGGAGGGCAAGTGAGAAGGGCTCTGAGCACCCTTGGAAGCAGTAAAGGGGCCTCCAAATCTGGCAAGGACAGGGAGACAGCTTTGCAAAAATTCGCAGACCCACAGGAAAAGCAACCTTCTCACCCAGCAGGGCATTACTTCCACTAGCTCTCTTGAGAACTGCTTCTCTCTCTCAGCCCAGACTGGCCTGGCCTTGGGTCAGAACCATGGGGTCTCCATCCACAGGCCATCCCCTCACTCACAGAGGCCAAGACACCTTCCCTGTGGAAGGAATGCTATGTCAGATTTTTAATCCTCAGGCTCTCCACTGACACAAATCTTACCTGCTAACCCTCTGGAGTCTGGTCCCAAACCACGACTATTTCCAGGCCACCATATTAGGGCAGAATTCAGCATGGCCTCACTGGAATTGTGCTTTGTGATGATGCATCAAAGGAATGCATTGATTAATAAATAATAAATTGTGGGTATTGAACAAATAATATTAGATTCTATGCCCACCAAATACAAGGCTTCCTAACAAGACATCCACTGCAGCCTCAATCCTGCAAATAACTGCACTGTTCCAATCCTAGAATGCCACATCTGCCCTCCCCACAGCCTCCAGGAACTCTCTGAGACTTGTGCTCAAGCCATGCTCCCAGAAGCCCTCCTAGTTATCCCTGCTCTGGGGTCCAACAACGCCCCCAGCGTATGTCTCTCGGGTATGTCCAGGCAGTCAGGGCCTGGCCAGCAACAAAGGCCAGCAGGAAGGCCCAGCCCTGTGCTAGTCATTTTTTTTTCCCTCTAACTTCCTGAAGAAGCTCACAGACCAATGTAAACAGAAGAGGATTGAAGGCATAGTCTGTTTCATTTGTGTCTTTTTAGCCTAGCCCCCATACTGCCACGTAACTGAATAGTAAGTTCCAGAATGGGATCACACAGCTTCACCTCAAGGCAAACATCTGGGGATAAGGGAGTCAGCCTGCCAGCACCCTATACCAAAGGGTTGACCCTCAGTCAGGTTTCTCCAGGCCTGTTTCCTGGCCACATTCACAGAGCCACATGCTAGAGCAAGTCCAAATAGGGAGAAACCCAGAGAGCCAAAGCATTGCAGTGGAAATGGAGGAGAAGCTGGGCCTGAGTTAAGGAGGAGGAAGGCTGTGCCAAAATCCACTTTCTGCTAATACAGAGTACTAAGCTCAGAAGGCAAAATCTGTCCTTGCAACCACCTGCGAAGAAACAGCCAGTGGGAGGGAGCTGGGGAGCATCTGAGAAGGTTGGGAGCAGGGAGAATATTTCAGGCTCTAAGTTAGGCCTGACCATGAATCAGATGGGGATTGGGGGTTTGGGAGGGTGGATACTTACCCACAAACGCTTCCTGCTCTTCTCCACCTGGGCACCAGAGGAAAAGACACAGGGGAACTATCCTGGATCACTTGTCCTCCATCCATCACTGTCCCCATCAGGAAAATGGGTACCTGATGCTCATCATCTTCAACTTTAAAGACTAGATGGGCAGGAGGTGGTGAGGTGAAGAGAATGCCCTTTGAAAGAAATGAGTTGAGGGACAGGCTGAGCTTGAGGTATCCCCTAAAATTCCTGATGATGAGAACATGCTGCTCCTGAGATCCCTAAGTTTGTGTGCTGCCTGAGGATTGGTACCTCATGCTAGCTGACCTAATCTGTTCTGGGGAGGTGCCAGCAAGAAGAGGCCTGGGGTAGCACTCCAGAGGCCTAGTTACAGCCTCTCACTCAGCCTCAGTGTCCCACTCTGGTCCAGCCCACCCCACCCCAGTGAAATGACCAAAGTGCAGGGGGCTCTTAATTCCAAGGTTTAAATAATAACGGTTAAGTAAGATGTACTCAAAACAAAACCTATGTATCGCTCTGACCCAGTAATTCCACTCTTAAATCTTAGGTCCAGAAGAAGAAAATACATACATATGTTCACTAAATGACAGATTCAAGTGTTCAAAGCACTATTCATAACATCCCCAGACTGGAAACAAACCAAATGCTCCTCAACAGAAAAACATGTAAACAAATTTGCTCTACTTACACAATGCAATATTTATACCAAATTGGAACAAAGAATCTATTACTACATACAATGACATGGATGAATCTCCTGAATTTAAGTAAAGTGAAAGAAGCCAAGCATAAAAGCACACACTGTATGTTCCTTTTCAGTGAAGTTCACAAAAAGACAAAACTAATCCATGGCTACAGAAGTCAGGATAGTGCTTGCCTGCTTTGGGGAATGAGTGAAAGTGGACATGGGATTTCTGGGGATGCCCATCTTTTGTTCTCGATGTATGACTCTGAGGTTTTTTTTGAGCTATAAACTTATGATTTGTGCATTTCTGTATGGATGTTACTTTTCAAGTGGAGGGGAGTGAAAGAACTACCAGTATTTCTGGAGTCTGTAACAGTGAAACCACCCACAAACTCACAACCAGACTCAAGGCAGACTTACTAGTCGCACTCACCCTGTCCAGCCAAGATCTCTGGAATCTGACTCAGGTATGGAGTGGTAGGAAAAGAGCCTGGCTCTTGAACTCAGAGGGGAGAAACAAGCCAGAATCACATCAAAGGCATTCTGGAGGTCGTCTATCCCATGCCTCCTAGCCCAGGTGTCAGCAAACATTTTCTGCAAAGTATCAGAGAGTAAATACTTTGGAATTTTCTGGCCAAATATAGTCTCCATTCACGTATTCATCTTTATTTTTTTTAATCCTTTAAAATTTAAAAACCATTTTTGAGGTGCCCTAGGTGACTCAGTCAGTTGAGCCCGATTCTTGATTTTGGCTCAGGTCATGATCTCATGGTTTGTGGAACTGAGCCCCGCTTCGGGCTCTGTGCGGACAGTGTGGAGCCTGCGTGGGATTTTCTCTCTTTCCCTCTCTCTCTGCGGTGCCCCTCACAAATCATGCATGCATGCTTGCACTCTTTCTCTCAAAATAAGTAAGCTTAAAAAATGAAATAAAATTTAGAAACCATTCTTCTTGGGGCTTACAAAAAGAAACTGAGGGCCAGATTTGTCTACCCCTGTGCACCAAACCAATGCTAGACTGCCTCTCTAGTACCTCTGACAAATGATCCCCAGTGTCTGTGTGACAAGGGCTTGCCTTGTCACCATGAACTGGAATTTAATTATTTGCAGTTGAACTCTTGTGCGGGCTTCTCCAACCTAAAAATGCTGGTGGGAGGGGCGCCTGGCTGGATGGGTCCAAAGAGCATGCAACTCTCTGAGCAACCCCCTCTTCCTTTGTTCTGCTCCCCAGCTGGTTCCCCTATCATTACATGTGTAGGTTAGAACCTGAATTCAGAGAGTGGTATTTCAGCCCTGAAACACAGTTTCAGTCCTTCTTGCTCAGATTTGCCTTCATGGCTCCTTGGCTGGGTCATGACCTCTAGGAATGCTCCCAGATTGTATACTGGGAATTTACTTGTTAGCTTCCTAACAAATAAACACTACCAAAGATGTCCCACTGTAGGCAGGTCAGGCCTGGGTTCAACTCCCTCCCTCTCCAAACATAATGCTCTCCAAACCACTAAATGGCAGGCAGTGGGCTACTTTTCACCATAGCGTCCCAATGTCCTTACCCTATGCAAAGAGGAGGACTTTCTTCTATGGCTCCTCTACTATAGGAAAGGCATATAATGGTAGGTGTTGGGGACACAAAGATAGGCCCAGTAGACACTGTTCCAATTACTTTACAGATGTCAATTATTCCAACTTCACAGTAACTCTAATACGTGCATCTTTATTTTGCAGATGGGGATATGGCAGCACAGTTGTTAAGAAACTAGTCCAAGGTCACACACAGAATTAAGTGGCAGAGTTGGGGTGCTAACATAGCCTGGGGCCAGCCTCAGGGAAGAGTCTCCTTCAGGAGATTATGCCTGGGCAGAGACCTGAAGGATAATTAGGGAGTTATATCTGGGTGAAGCAGTGAAACAAAAAAGCCTTCCATGTGGAAGAACATGCCCAAAGACATAGAGGCAACAGCCTGGCATGAGTGTGTCAGAGTCCCATTTCAGGTGGATGGCTCTGGTGGCTGCAGAATGGACTGAAATGAGGACAAATGACCCTTTAGGAAACATTGTGTCCAGTTGGAAGCTGATAGGGTCAGATCAAAGATGAAAGGAAGAGATAGAGAAAGTGGCCTAGATTTGAAGAGATAAAAATCAGCAGGTCTTGATGGTTTCAATTTGTTGGGTTTGTTATTTATTCAGCAGATATGCAAGAAGTACTTGCTGTATGTTCAGCACTATGATCGAGGAGCTGCATGTACATTATTAACAGCACATTTACCATTCTTGCTCTGTAGAGTTTACATTTCAAGTTCAGGCCCAGAGACGGAGAGCAGGAGTTCTAGGGTGCCTTGAAGATTCCGTTAGGACAGGTAGTGTTCCTCAAACCAGTGACCAATTCGTGAGGGGTGCAATCATACCCGTGGATCTTGAACAGCATTTTACTGAAGCAAAATAGAATAGAACATATCAGGGTGTCTTGACTGCCATAAGAACAATTTTCAGAAATTTTATTTGTTACATATGTGCAAGTCTGTATTGGATTAACATGTGCAATGCACTCCTTAGTAAGGGTCAAGTAAAGAAAGAAAAACAAACCTTGCAAAAACCTTGGGATAAGGATAACAACACGCCTATAACTCTGAACACCTTTAAGGGACTGATCATGCCTTATATGTTCCTATAATAAAGTGGATGGATAAATGGATGGGTTATGCATGTATGTGATGGATGAATTAAAGTGAATGGGCAGGTGGATGGATGGTTGTATTCGTGCACGCAAGCAGGCATGGATAAGTGAGTGGATGGTGAATGGAAGCATTACCGATGAAGGCAAAAAGATCTATAGAATAAGTCAGCATAAGGCATGCTGAGTCTGACGTATCTGAAAGGTCGCAGGACAGTGGAGATGGACATAGAAGTAAAAGTAACGGGATACATGAGGCTAGGAAGCCGAGGCTCTGCAGGTAGTTAGAAAGGGGTTAAATGGTTTGAGGAGAAAAGTTGGAGGTATGAGTCCCACGCAAAACCGTTTGATCTCACAGCCACTCCACACCACCGCGCGCACCACCCCACTGCTTTCCTGCAGGCCACGCCCCCGAGCGTGGCCTCCATAGAGACGGAGTTCTCACTACCACAAAGGTTTCTGGCTAGAAGGGCCGGAAGTGCACGAGAGCGCGAGCTTGGCCACCGCACTTTTTGGGTCCGTTTCCGGGGAACTGGCCCTGCTGAGGGACCGCCGCATACTCTGTGTCTGGCTGGTGTGGAGCGGCGTAATGGCTTAAATTGATTCTCTTTCCACCTCTGCCCATTCTCACCAGTCTTTCCTATCAGCGCCGGCTGGATGGCTGTCACGGCTCCCAGCTGTCTCGTCCCCTGGGACATCATAGACAATGTGGTCCTCCGTTGGCTCAGTCTACCCTTTCCGAGCGTGGGTTAGAGCGCCTACGTCATTTTCTATCGCCTCCGGCTGGGGGTGGGGAGTGCCAGCACCGGAGGAGGACACCTCTGGGTCGGGCAAACCTGGAGGAAGGCAAGAAACGTGTTGGGACCTGAATTTGCAAGCTGAGCCTTGAAAGTAAGTGGAAGCTGTAGCCTGGTTCCGCCCCCGCTCCCCTTAGAGAGCGGCTGATTCCAGACAGCCTTGAGCTGGGAAGAGCCTGGGGGAGAGGCGTAAGGCTCCTTTGCCGGCTAGAGGAGGAAGAGCAGCAAGAACAGCCTTGGGTCACAAGCGTAGCTTGGAGGCAGGGCTGCAGGCTCGTCCCCGCTACGTAGCTCCGGAGTAGACGCATCCACAACCCCAGGCTGCGCATTAAATGGCTGGCTATGCTACTACTCCTAACCCTATGCAGACCCTTCCGGAGGAAGCAGTGTGTGCCATTTGCCTGGATTACTTCAAGGATCCCGTTTCTATAGGCTGTGGGCACAACTTCTGCCGAGGGTGTGTGACCCAACTATGGGGCAAGGAAGATGAGGAAGACAGGGGCGAGGAAGATGATGGATGGGAGGAAGACGAGGATGACGATGCGGAGGGGGCCGTCGATGGATGGGACAACTCTATTCGAGAGGTTTTGTACCAGGGCAGTGCTGACGAGGTGTTTCAGGACCAAGATGATGAACTCTGGATTGGTGATGGTGGCATCGGGAATTGGGACATGGACTATGTGTGGGACCAGGAGGAAGAAAAGGAGGAAGATCAGGACTATTACCTGGGAGGCTTGAGACATGACCTGAGAATTGACGTCTACCCACAGGAGGAGATACTGGAAGAATACGATGAGGACGACGAAGAGCTGTATCCTGATACCCGCTTGCCTGCTCCTCCTCCTCCCCCTCCACCGGGCCCTTCACGTCAGTTCATCTGCCCCCAGTGCCGAAAGAGCTTTTCGCGTCGCAGCTTTCGTCCCAACTTGCAGCTAGCCAACAAGGTTCAGATAATTCGCCAGGTGAGCCCCACTCCTTATCGCGGAAGCCGGGGGAATGATCAGGGCATCTGCTCCAAACATCAGGAAGCCCTGAAACTCTTCTGTGAAGTGGATGAAGAGGCCATCTGTGTGGTGTGCCGAGAATCCAGGAGCCACAAACAGCACAGCGTGGTGCCAGTGGAGGAGGTGGTGCAAGAGTATAAGGTGAGAGGCACAAGGGGGGAAAGAGGGTGGGGGGGTTGAGGAGAGTGGAAAGAAAAACAAAGGGAGCTGGGAGGCGGATACTTGCTAGTTGAATCTTTTTTTTTTTTTTTTTTTTTGTGAGAGATAAGGGCACAGTAGTGGAGAGAGATGGGCATATGTGGATAAGAGACACACTGGCTGAGGCTGATTGGCTTCTCCAAAGTAATCTGAGCAAAGGCACCAAAGCTGACTACTCTTGTTATTCCATTTCAATCTGAGCATGGATGACATATCCCTAGTACCAAATTCTGTCTTTTGAGTCCTGAGACTGTACCTTACCAAGACTCCAGGACCCTTAACCACATAGGAATGGAAAGCAATTAAGTACTTGTACATAATAGACATTTGAGACCTTGGAGTACAACCAGGTCAAAAGAGATGACTGGGGGAAAACATACACAAAAGAAGTGACTGGTTTTGGTAGGCTGAAAATAAGTGCAATTGGCCACACCCCCTTCCTAAAGTAGGAGGGTGCTTCAGTAGGGACTATCTATTTTCCCTGTACAGAGAGGCAGAGGACATAAACATCTTCTTGATGGATCAGAATAAGCCTTCTGTCTTGATAACTCTCCTTTCCTGGTATTTTATCATAGTGAAAGGAGTGATGGATTTAGGATGAGATGACCTGGCTCTGCCACTTACTGTCTAACCTTGGACAGGTCTTCACCTCTTACCTTTACTTTTCCCCTAGGCTTGTTAAAATTAAGAGACCATGTATATGAAAGGTTTTTATAAACCATAAAACACTAAACAAATGTTTGCTTTTTTATTTGATCTTCCTGTTTGTCTTTGCTTTGGGTTGATTTAGTTAATACATTGCTCTCCTGACTTGAGTAGTAGAGAGCTGTCTCAGTGACCGCTTAAATAATGTCTTCCTTATCAAAAGCCTAGGTGAATGTGACTTCTCCCAGTACTCAAGGAAGGAGAGATGTCTCAGGCCCAAAAAGTCTTATCCTGGATATTCATTAGCAGCTGCTCAAATTTCAGTGTGCTTTACAGTTTATAAAATCTATTTCCTCACGTTCTCCTACAGCAGTGGTTTTCCAATTGTGGATTTTGACCAATAAAGTAAGTGTGTCATGCCTAGCATTATTTTAATTAAATGAAAATATCAGATTCATGGAACATAGTAAGGTAAACACTGTCTTATGAAAGTTTTAAATTTTATGTACACCTATGTATACTTGGTCTCACAGTAAAATGTATTGCTTACTCTGGGTTGCAGTCAAAACACAAACATTGTCCTAAAGTGTCATATATTAGCTATTATCATCACCCTTCAATTTAGTTACTGGTAAGTGCACAGTAAGACCCTACAGTCTTAACTCCAAATCCCTGCTAATGTCATCATACGAACCTGACTTTAGGGACAACCCTAGCATCACGCTTTCCCCTAGGGTAATAAAGTTTGCCTCCAGAAGAAACTACATCTTATACTTCTGGTTTTTAGTACACTGAAGCTGAATAAAGAAGGTAACTTTTCATCCCTCTGTTAGAATTTTCTGTAAGGATTTTGAAACCAAAATTTCTTACTGAAAGCCAATTAGGAAAAAAAGAGATGGTTTTTCAACTGGGGAAGCCAGAGAACACTCACTTGAAACTTGGAAATTATTTACAAAGCATGCCAGTGGGGCACCTGGGTGGCTCAGTCAGTAAAGCGTCTGACTTTGGCTCAGGTCATGATCTCATGGTTCGTGGGTTCAAGTCCCGCGTTGGGCTGTGCTGAAAGCTACCTCAGAGCCTGGAGCCTGTTTCAGATTCTGTTTCCGTCTCTCTCTGACCCTTCCTTGCTCACGCTCTCTCTCTCTCAGAAATAAATAAAACATTAAGAAAAATTTTTTAAGTATATTGTATAAAGCATACCAGTAAATATAAACAGCAAAACCAAGTTAAACAAATTGGGGAAAATTCCTTTCAAAATATAGAATATTTAAAAGAAAAGAAAACTTTATTTTCAAATATATACCAGAATTTAGGTAGACGGTATTGCCAAACATAGGAATTACACTGAAGAGGTTAAAACTTTTATTGTATGTATATATAAACTTTTAGTAATTGGGGATGTAGTTTTGTTACTGCCTTTCATTGGTCAACATATACCAGTAGCATAGTTTAGAATTTTACTGAATGAGACTTACATAATAGGTAACATTATAAGAAACTATTTTTGTATAATGGTTTATTTTATATTGTGCATTATCCATCACACAGTTCTGGTTACAGTGAATTTTTGTCAGCTACCACTTGAACACATTTTTTAAATCTACTTTGGTGATAATCAGGCTGTTTAGTTTTAGGGACTGACTAGGGAGTTGTTACTCATAGAATCAAGGGAATATGTCAGTGATTTTCAGGAATAGGAGAAAAAGGCATTCTCTCTCTCCCTTCACAAATTACATTAGCATTGCACATATGGGGAGTGTTATAGTTTATAAAAGAACTCCTTGGCTGCTAAGAATACAAAGATAGAACAAGAAACATTCAGAGTAAGGCCTGTAATTAATGAGGTATATACACAGGTTGGGTAGCCACAGATGTTCATTGTGGGTACGATGCTAAATATTTATACTGCTATTTTTATTGCATATCCAAGACAAGTTATATTGTTTCGAGGTCAATGTACTTTTAAAGTTTAATTGTGTATAAAAAGAGCCTTTTTAGCTCTGAAAAGCTTACTTATTTACATCTTCCATTTTGTCCATCCCATGAGTTAGAGTTCATCTTGACTCTTCAAGCTAGAATCAGAGGATTATGAAAGTAAAAGCATTTAGACTGACCAAGGACACCATTAAATGGTGTCAGGTTTTAGACGGTGGAAGGGTGTATAAAAAGGAAATAAACAAAGATTTCACTTGTTGGGGTTCAGGCACAACTGGATGCCTGTATTGCCCTGCTACCCAGCTGCCACCAATAAAATCATTCATCGTTCTGCAAGAGAGACCAGATGCTTCCATCATCAATACTCCTTTTTCTGTTTTTTCCTTTGAGGTAGCTAAAGATGGCAGCCAAAATTTTTTTTGAGGCTTTTATCAAGTATATATTCACATTATGATGCAGAAGATAGGGTCATCTTCTTCAGTTGAGTTACCAGTTACCTGAAAATGTTGGGCAGTGACACCATGCCAAACACTGTTAAATTTATGCCATTAAAAACAGTGGAGTATTCTGCAAAGCACAATTCTCTGAAGCTTTAAGATTGGACAACAATCTTCAAAAGCTATGAAAGCACAATAAATAGCCCTTTTAATTGCAAAGGAGAAAAAAATGGAGAAACTTGTGAAGCCTTGCATTCCAAGTGCTGCCACAACTTTGAGAGGAAATTGAGGAATTCCAGACTTTCGTCATCTACTTCTACAGTCTTAACTCGGAAATGATGACTGAACATATCAAACTTCAGGTTTTAAAAACTTTAGCTCATCCTTCTTTGCTGTTGAGATGAATCTACTGATAAAAATGTGTGCTTTGCTTATGTTTAAAATAAAGCTTTAAAAAGTGTGGGTGTGGTGGTTTCATAAACATAATACTTGACCACTAAAGACAAGTATTTTTGAAACTGTATCAAATGAACTGAGTTGGAGGAAAATTATAAGAGTATACACTGGTGGTGCTACAGTAACGGAATGTTCTAAATCTGGGTTTTTGGCAAGAACTAAAGAAAACTGTGTTTAAGATGTATTGTAGCAATCCCCACCAAGCATCCACTTCCATCGACTGGCCCATAATCTACTGGAAATCTTCACCTTGCTGTCACCATAACCCTTGTGGAAAACAGTAGATTTGATCCCAGTTTGCCTTGATTTTTGAAGATCTATTCAGAATGCCACTGAGAGTGTTTTCTGTTACATACTCCAGTTCCTTAGTTGTTAAACAATTGTATTCAGCTGAATTTATGAACAGCACTGATTTTGAAACACCAATGACAAAATAACCCTCTGATTTTGGAACACCATCTAAAGAGAATCTGTACTTTAAATTTTCAAGAGTTAAAACTTTTGACAGAATGTATTGGATTGAAGCTTAAAATACATTGACCCTGAAATGTCAAAAGGCAAACACCAACATCACTGCTTATTATGAAATACTTTAAGCAAAACTTGCCAAAAATCCAGCTACACATAGCAAACTCATGCTAACAATTTCGAATATGCTTGGCCAATCTTTCAAGGACTAGATTTCTGAATGTTATTTCAAGACAAAAATATGAAACATCTGGAACTATTTTGGGTGATTGTTATTGGCCTTGTTCTTAACAACCTCTATTAGTTGTTTTTTTTTTTTTTTTTTTAAATATTTTTTATTTATTTCTAGGAGAGAGAGAGAGACAGCGTGAGCAGGGGAGGGTCAGAGAGAGAGGGAGTCACAGACTGAAACAGGCTCCAGGCTCTGAGCTGGCAGTCAGCACAGAGCCCGACGCGGGGCTCGAACCCACGAACCGCGAGATCATGACCTAAGCGAAAGTCGGACGCTTAACCGACTAAGCCACCCAGGCGCCCCACAACCTCTATTAGTTTTATAAAGAGTGTTTTCAACTGATGTTTAGTCCTCACTGGAAGAGCTTCAAGAGGAGTATGTGGAACTTAAAGTCTGATTGTTTTGACTAGAAACTTCCAGATAAGCACTCTAGAAAAATTGGGATATAAAATGTCTAAAAATATGTGAAGACTTTATTCCATTTGTTATTCCATTTTCTCTTTACATCTTAGAAGCTTTTTTTGAGGGGAGTATATCTAGCTGTGGGGAGAAAATAGTCCAAGAGTATTGTTAAAGCAGTTTGTGTTTTGTTACATCTTCTACACCACCCAAGAAAGATAAGGCTTAACAGTGACATAGTTATCACCTTATCTGAATAAATTTTTGCCTTCCAAAATTACCATTGCTTTGATTTTTAGTCATACTTAAATGTGAAATTTAATAACTTAAATAACTTAAATAACACTGGAGGGAAATTTTGAGATTTTTAAGTATATGAAAAGTAGAGCTATGGTTCCACAAACATTGAGAAAAAACTGGTATATCCCTATTCACTAGATAGTCATTTGTTTATTGAATGTTTTCCCTACCAGGTTCAGCTATTGACTGCTGTATCACAAGTCAGACTGTTTAAACTTGGTCCTCGCTACTCCTGTGGTTGTACCTGGGACCTCATCTTTAAACAGACTTGCTACACATCTGAAATCCTCACCCTCAATTGCACTATGACCTTAGCTCTTTGCCTTCTAGTGCAGTTAAATACACTCAAGTTATACCTGCTCTTCAGTTTTGTGGAAGCCACAGTTTACTGACATCTAAATTTTTTCCTTCCTAATTTAATATACTTGCTGACCCTGGACCTTATGAGTAGTCTTGGCATGAAGAACTGATCCACGCTGTAGTCTAGGCCAGTGTTTCTTAACCTCGGCACTATTGACATTTTGAGTAAGATAATTCTTTGCAGGGTGGGGCTGTCCTGTGCATTATAGGATGCCTAGAAGCATCCCTGGACTCTACCCACCAGATGAAAGTAGCACCCCTCCACCAGCTGTGGCAACCACAAATGTCTCCCAACATTTCCAAATGTCTTATGGAGAGGGTTGACGGGAGCAAAATCATCCGTGGTTAAGAATCATTGGTCTAGTGGGGCGCCTGGGTGGCTTAGTCGGTTGGGCGTCCAACTTTCGCTTAGGTCATGATCTCGCAGCTCGTGGGTTCGAGCCCCGCGTTGGGCTCTATGCTGACTGCCAGCACAGAGCCTGAAGCCTGTTTCAGAGTCTGTGTCTCCCTCTCTCTCTGACCCTCCCCTGCTCACGGTGTCTCTCTCTCTCTCATAGAAATAAATAAAAATATTAAAAAAAAAAAAAGAATCATTGGTCTAAATTCAGGGATAGTGTTCTAATCCACAGATGTGCCATTACCAGCTCCTGATCCCCCTGAAAGTTAATCCCAGAACACTAAGTTATTACAAATATTTATTGACTGATAAAAGAGGATTACAAAAGTGAACACATTAGCCTGTTATACCAGGTCTAAAAAGACTTTCCAACAATGTAAGTATTCTAAAGCTATGCTGTTTGATATAGTAGCTACATATGACTTGAGCTCTTGAAATGTGTCTAGTGCAAGTCAGGAACTGAATTTTTAATTGTATTCAATTTTAAATAATTTAAATAGCCATACATGGCTTACGGCTATCAAATCTTATTGAATTGTACAATTGTACACCTTTTTGTTGTACAACTAAATTTTTTTGTATGGTTCCATAGAAAGGAGGCAGGTTGAATTCTGGTCCTTTCTAGGACTCAGGAATAGAGGCAAGTCCAAAGGGAAGATGAAAAAGAAATGAGACAACTTTCTTTTCCCCATCAGGAGAGGCAAGCTCAAAGGCGCTATTTTTAGGCACAGAAGAAATATATAAAAGAAGACTTTCTTAGGGGTGCTTGGGTGGCTCAGTCAGTTAAGCTTCCGATTCAGCTCAGGTCATGATCTTGCAGCTCATGAGTTCGAGCCCCACATCAGGCTCTGTGCTCATAGCTCAGAGCCTGGAGCCTGCTTCAGATTCTGTGTCTACCTTTCTGCCCCTCCCCTGCTCACACTCTGTCTCTCTCTCAAAAATAAATAACATTAAAAGAAACAAATACCTTCTTACATTTTTTTAAAAATCTGACTAAGACAGCCTTGAACAGTTCCACTTGTGATTCATGTGAATCACACGTGGGAAATGTGATAAGGGAGAACTCTAGTGGGAAGGCAGCTGAAAAAGAAACTATTACCTTCTTCCCAAAAAGAGCCAGAGCTGGGGCCTCAAAATAGGGGTGGGGGGGGGGAAGAAGTATAAATAAGGTTTTATTTGCTGCCTGACTTATGGAAAATGGGATATGGAGCAAAACCTAGCATTAAAGTAGGTAAGTGGTTTCTTCCCTTTTTCCTCTCGTACCTAAATCCTGGCAGAGAGTGGTAAGGAATCCATGAAGTCCCAGAAGGGAAAGCAGTTTGTGCTGGCAGTGCTAAATAAAAAAAAAGGGGGGATGTGAGAGGTTTTAGGAATAACAGGGCCAAAAAGGAGGAGAACTAAAAGTGATGACAAATTTAACTTTTAATTATACAGTCTTTGCCCACAAAGCAGAGTCCTCAGAGGTACAGTATGAGAGGACCCTGGGCATAGGGAAACAGCTCATCTTACAACGTGAGAAGTGTAGGAGATGTGACAGGGGACCAGCAAAGAAATGGCCTCTTAAGTTACTGTTCTTCTCCCCATATCTATCCCTTCCAAAGAAGGAGGAAAATGGATACCTCAGGGATTTGCACTAGAAACAGCCTTAAAGAATATATAGGCTTATTCTTCCATAGCTACTGAAGATCATGCTTAGGCCTTCCTAGTCTTTTACCTAATCCTAAAGAACTCAGATGCAGAGTTGGTCAGAGAGTTCTCATTGACAATTCCACCTGGTACTAAACAGGGCCCCACAAAGATGAAGGACCCAGGTCACCTGGAAGAAGATCCCTAGGGATCCTGCCCCCTTTTTGTCTGCCATTTCCTAATCAGATAGAATCCTCTCTCTCCCCTCTCCAGCAAAGGATGGAATTTTTCAGCAAGCTCCAGCTAGTTAACCAAGTGTGAGCAGAAAGGACTGTTTCCTCTTCAGCCCTCTTACCATATGGTAAGCTAGCTAGTCTCAAGGTTCCATTTTGACATACTCTCCTGACCCTAGTTCATATGAAATTCTTTTCCAGGAAAAGCTGATAAAAGGCAACTTGATCACCTTTAATTTCTCCCTACCACCTAATGCTGTTTTAAATCCTTTAACAAGCCAGAGGCTTGACTTCACCTTTAATGTCTTATAATTTTACCTGGACTATAGTCACCTGCTTGGACCACACCCACTTCCAGAGCCTCTCACTGCACATCTGCTGAAGCACCTAGGGCCTGGGGAACCCCACAGCATACCTCCCAGGGAAAGCCCAACAGTATGCCTTAGCAGCTTTCACGATGAGACCTCAGATTTCTGCCTAAGATGGGCAACGAATATTTTCAAGAGACATAAGGAAATTATATGTGACTTCTTCTAAGATCTGTTGCTGGCTTTGACTTAATAACATATCCCCACCTTTCAACAAGAAAAATGGAATAGAACCTACAATAGGAACAGAACTTCCATGTTTCCTTCCAATCTTTTTGAGCTTAATTTTTTAGGCCTCAATCATGAATTAGTTTCTATAATCAGAGCCCAGTTCTAGATACTGGAGTGAAGAAGGTAGGGAGGAGAGAGACAGATTAGAGGAGATGTTGAATCCCTCATCATAAGGCCATTACTCAGCCATTACTCAGGACTCTCATGACTGTCCTACAGACTCTATTGTCCAACTTCTGAACTCTTACAGTCTTCCTTCAACCTTCAACTTACCCTCCACTCTGAGAACAAACACTTTACAACAAAATCAAGTCTAGGCAGGAAAGGGATGAGATAATCCTAAAGAGGAAAGTCCTAGGCTTCAGGACAAATTCAGATTCCTTAGTAGTCAACTCCTTCCTGATAGGGACTCCCTGGCCACCTTGGGTTTCACGCTCTCCTACCTTCCCATTTGAAACCATCCCTCCAAAAATTCTGCATGCAATTACTCTAACATCTTCTCCCCATGGTGATCCCTCTGCCTGGAACACCCTTTAACTACTTGCCCTTAACTACTCAGCCTGTGAGATTGGTTACCAAGATTGGAATCTTCTTCAACCAAACCCTCTACCAGCAAATGCAGCATATGAGCCCAAACAGACCAGTCCCTGACCTCAGGGCACTGAGAAAAGCCCTAAGAGATTCAAATAAGGGCAAACTGAGCTAACGGCTATGAAGGCCCAGCACACCATCACTATGAGGGCATGAATCAAGAAGCCTAACCTAGACTTGAAGGTCACAGAGGGTTTCTCTGAGGTGGCAACCTGAATTGAGACCTGAAGGAAGCTTAGATTAAGAAAAGTGGGGGTGAGGAGTTGGCTAAGCATCAGACTTTGGCTCAATCTCGTGGTTGGGGAGTTCATGCCCTGTGTCAGGCTCTGTGCTGACAGCTTGGAGCCTGGAGCCTGCTTCTGATTCTGTCTCCCTCTCCCTTTGCCCCTCCCCTGCTCACTCGCGCTTTCTCTCTCTCTCTCTCTCTCTCTCTCTCTCTCTCTCTCTCTCTCTCTCACACACACACACACACTCACTCTCAAAAATGAATAAACATTTAAAAAGAAAAGTGGAGGTGGAATATGGTGGGCGTTTCAGGCAGAACAAGGTATGTTCTCTGTGGGAAAGAACTGAAAGTTGAAAGGAGCAGGGGAGAGCCAATGTACTCACAAAAAGGAGTATAGGCCAGAGCCAACCACATTGAAACTGCCAAGGAACAGTCGAATGAAGGGAAGTCACCTGCTTTAGTTGACAGTGGGCCCTCTGGTCTTGGCCACATCCTTTTCTCTCAGCCCCTCACCTATCCTATCACCCACAATAGTCATCACCAACACATTCAAAGGAAGACCTATCTCACCTCCTGAATGCTGGCAGGATGGAATAGAGGTCTCTGTTCCTAGAGGAGAGGTCATGGCCCTCTAGCAGGGAAACCAGAGGGGCTTCTCCCAGCTGGGTGGGTCTTGGGAATTCCCAGCAGAAAAGACAGACTTCCTTAGAAGAGCATCTCCAATTTCTCCCTTGGGATGCTTACCTTGTGTGGGAATGGAGGTGGTGCCAGTGGAGATGAAGGAGAGGAGGGGCAGCCCAGGGGCTGGGACTAGAAGTGGGTAAGGAACCCTCCAGGAGGGACAGCCTGAGGAGCAGAAAGAAGGCTCTGCAGAGAGACTTTCCCAAAGGCCAGTTGGGGCTCTCCAGCAGGCTTCTACCTCCTAGAGGCCAGATAAAAGACTTGGAATGAAAAGGCCCAGGGGTACGGCCCAGGACCGCCTGCACAGGAAATAGACCTGTTAAAGGAAGGGAAGCGCACACATCCTGTAGCCAAGGGGAATCATCCCACTGGAAGGGGCAGGGCTTCAGGCAGGAGGAGTCCAGGTGGGCCCATATGCCTAGCAGGGAATTGTGGAGACCTAGAGGGAAGCAGGTGCATATGTGGCTCAACTCCAGCTGGAACTGAGAAGGAAAGGCTGCCACTGCACCCTGACCCTCAGTACACCCAGAGTCCAGGCCATGCCTCCCTTGGTTCAGGAATGCTCTTCAATGGCTTTGTGGCTTGCCCACAGGCCAGGCAGTGATTGGAGGAAAACTCTGAGGTGGAAAGCCCAAAAGGTTTAATCTGTTGTCTGGGGAAGTCCACTACATTCCTTTTCTCCCTCTCCTCCCCTGGCATTGCCAGACCGGTACTGATAGGCTCCAGGAGAAAACCTGAATTCCTCCCCTTAGCTCCAGAAGAGGGGGCACTGGCACAATCCTCTTACAGAGTAAGGGGCTGGTGTAGGGAGAGGCCCTTGGAATAAGGGGAGGCCAAGGGCACTTCCAGAAATTTCGGGCGTGGGAGCCTGCAGGGTGGGGGAAGGGGCCAGGCACAAGTAGGACTGGGGTAGGGCAGGGCTAGCCTGGGAACTGCCCTCTTCTGGAAAGGAACTGAGAGACACCTAAAAGCATCTCCTTGAGCATGTGTGAGAGACCTGGGAAGCTTGTTTTAAACCTGCACCCTTGGCCCTACCTCAGGGATACTGATTCCACAGCTGCTCCCTGGCAAAATTCAAGAAAACAGCCAGCCAAATGATATTTCTCCAGGCGGGTAAATATAATGTGACTGAGTGATGATCTCTTTAGGTAGTGGAGGTAGGAGATGAAGAACTTATGTTCTTGAACTGAGACTAAATCCTCTACCTATATAGGTCAAGCATCAGGAGAGTCCTTGCGCTGAGCATCTCCACTAGACAATGCATGGAATCTCTCACCTCTTTATTTGTGCCAAGTGCCAGGGCACTTGGCATGACCCAAATTATCAACAGCAAGCTGGATATTGGTGTGGGTGAAGGTAAGAGTCTCCCACGACCACAGGAGAAACCAAATGTGTGGGTCGAGGTCAAGTTGGACTGTAGTGTTGGAAAAGCAAAAAGACAGCTAACTGAGAGTGCTATGGAGTCAGGTGACATACATGACTGGGACCCTTGAAGCACAGTCAGGGCAGCACCCTGAGGACCCATGGTCCTTCCCCAAGCCTGCTGACCCTCTTGTCAACTGCCCCTTACCTCCATCTCACTGGTTTTCAGCACCTGCAACAATCGAGTTCAAGATTTTTGCACTGACTCTCTCTCCAGCTACATCTCCTCCCACATACGTTCCCTTATTGGAACTTTAACCTTCCATATAGCCACAGGTCTATATCCTACTTGTCCTTCCTCTCTTTGCTCCAATCTCCCTCTCAATCTCCGTTCCACTCACCCCATCAACTGTAAACCCCAAAATCCAAAATCCAGGTCCCCATTGTCTTGGCTCCCAAGTGAATTTCCCAAAACATAAAACAGAAACTGGTACCAAAGAAATGCTAAGTTTGCCTGCATTTACTCTGCCAGGCATCATTCTAGGTAGCTTTACCCTTTTTTTTTTTTTTTTTTGAGTTTACTTTTTGATAGAGAGGGATAGAGAGCAAGCAGGGGAGGGGCAGAGAGAGAGAAGAGAGAGTATTCCCAAGCTGGCTCCATGATCTCTGCAAAGCTGGACATGAGGCTCGAACTCATTAACCGTTAGATCATGACCTGAGCCAAAATCCAGAGTTGGGCGCTTAACTAATTGAGCCGCCAAGGCGCCCCTGGGTGCTTTATTTAACTCATTTAATCTCAACACCATTTTAGGTTGATACTATTATTTCCAACCTCATTTTACAGATGTGAAACTAAAATTAATACACATTACAAATAAAATACTTATGTATAATCCACCCTTGTTTTGCATAGATGATAGCCACTGCTATCATCCTGGTCTGTGTGCTCCCCCCCACCCCTTTTAAAAAATATACACCTAGGTGGATCAGTCAGTTAAGCATCTGAGTCTGGATTTTGACTCAGGTCATGATCTCAGTGTTAGTGAGTTCGAGCTTTGTGACCAGCGTTCTGCCAAGAGCATGGAGCCTGCCTGGGTTTTCTCTCCCTGCCCTCACCCCCAATCATGTGCACGCTCTCTCTCTCTTCTTAAAACAAATAAACATTTTAAAAATAGCAAAATTAGGGGCGCCTGGGTGGCTTAGTCAGTTAAGCGTCCGACTTTCGCTTAGGTCATGATCTCGCGGTGTGGGTTCGAGCCCGGCGTCGGGCTCTGTGCTGACTGCCAGCTCAGAGCCTGGAGCCTGTTTCAGAGTTTGTGACTCCCCCTCCCTCTCTGACCCTCCCCTGCTCATGCTGTCTCTCTCTCTCTCCTAGAAATAAACAAAGCATTAAAAAAAAATTAAAAAAATAAAAATATTAAAATTAAAAATACTTGAGAGAGGCGCTCCCAGCCAGCATCATATATTAATGTCAAGGATGTGCCATAGTGGGAGGCACTAAATACTCTTATACCATGCGGTTAAATAGGAGAGCATGGTATAAATAGGTTAAATAGGTAGCATGTTCCACTGCTTCAGTCTGAGAGCACCTCCTTGGGGGCACGGCTGGAACCCGAGACTGGCCGGCCTTTCTGTGAGGTGGTTAGACCCAGTGGCGGCTTTGGTCCGGAGTCCCCAGAATTCAGAACCCGGAGGCCGTTCCTCTCGCGGCCTATCAGTTTCTGCGACCGCTCTCCGCACTCCTGCCTAGGCGAGAACTCGGTGGCCGATAAGCAGCCCACAGACCGATTTTTCGTTCCTCCCAGGTTTTCCGCTCCGTAATCCATTTTCGTCCTACTCTTGCCTGCACTAAGTGCTTCCGGACAGGGAGTGCCTCAGCCAATTCCCTCAGAGCAAAAACCTCTTGAGGGAAGAGCTGCTCTCTGAGATAGCAATCTGTTAGGATTTAATAATTCGCCTGAGCACAGTGTATTTTAAAAAATTTAATGCCATATTTTTCATATCGCTTACCGTTACTCGCAGTTCTCACCCAGATATTACACTCTCTCAGTGTTGCCCTCGGAGCCACCCCGCGGAAAAGGAGGGGCGCGGGCTGTGCCACGTGGAAACACCGAAGGTGCTATGCGATCCTGACGGGAATATGCCGTGCCCTTCCCTTCTTCCGCTTTTTAGACATCACGCCCCAGTGAACGTTTGATGGGTCTTTTAAAACACTTGACCGAGTTGGTTTCAGAATTTTTTGTATGGCACTGCCAAACTATATTGCGCAGCGGTAGGGGACTGTGAAGTTCTGTCATTTCTCTTGGCCGTATGCCTTACCTGGCGCCGCCATTTTAAGCAGAAATGAATTATGGGGGCCGTCATTTTGCTCGAGCGGGCGGGTATTTCCGGTTCCGGTGGGGGCCTTCTCTCTCTTTTCCTCCGCAGGGCCGCGGCGGGAGCGGCTGTGGTGCTAGTGTCTGAGCTATCCAACTTCATCCTTGTCGCCGCGGCGACACCCGCACTCGCTGTCAGCATGACTGAGCAGATGACACTTCGTGGCACCCTCAAGGGCCACAACGGCTGGGTGACTCAGATCGCCACTACTCCCCAGTTCCCGGACATGATACTGTCCGCCTCGCGAGGTACGGGCTGAGGGTTAGGGCAAGGGATTGACGGATAAATGGGTTGCGCGTGTCGCCTGTCCTTGCCAGTGGCGCGCGAGTTGGCGGCTCGGAAAACTCCGTCCGCATGTGAGTTGGGGCTTGCGGATCCGGGCCTAAACCTCGGCCCGGATTAGCCCGTGAGGTTTTTTGCAGCTTGCAGAGGCCCCGAGACGTAGGTCAGCTCGTGGCTGCCAAGATTTCAGGATTGGGGGTTTATTTCTCGCCCACCTCCTTGCAGGTGTGGCTGAGTGTGCGCAGGAGCCTACGGGTCGGGCGGGGCGGTGATGACCCCAACATGCCATCTGAGTGCACATGCTGAGACCCAGAGGCTGTTTCTGAGCTTACGCCCGGCCCTGTGCGTGGTTTTTGTGGATAGACTCCCAAGGGGACGTCGTAACTCCAGTCTCCTTTCAGGCCCGTTTCTTTAACGTCCTCATTTTTTTCTTGTCATTTATTTCCTTGTTTCAATGAACACGCTATTGTTTGCTCCCCCTTCTATTAAAAATAGTCTCAGGTTAGGATCATGTATGACACTTCATCGGAAAGCGTGTGTAGTCCAACACGTTTCAGTGAAAGCTTCCAGCCCTGTAGGGTGTAAAGCAACTAAATCCAGCACTTCTGACACCCCTCAGTGGTAATTGTAGGAAGCCCACATTCAGTCTTCGGACACCCAAGCAGTAGTGTTTATAATGCATTACACCTCAGATAAGACTCAGACATTGAATTGATCTGAATGTCAGAAAAGGGCATCCATAATCTGCTATAAAGTTCTGCACACCTGAGTTTAATTCTAGTGGTGTTGCTTAGTTCTACTTGACTTTTTTTGGAGTAGTGAATCAACTTGGCTTTGACTAATAACAGCTCTCTTGGCCTACAATTCCCCTCCCTCCTTGAGTGTCCTTAATTTCTTGTAAATCCACCCATGACCTTGAGGGATCCTGGATTATCCAGTAGGTCAGTTAGTAGGCTGCGGGATTCTCACTGGGTTTTCTGTGTTACCTCCCCTTAGATAAGACCATCATCATGTGGAAGCTGACCAGGGATGAGACCAACTATGGAATCCCACAGCGTGCTCTTCGGGGTCATTCCCACTTTGTTAGTGATGTGGTCATCTCCTCAGATGGCCAGTTTGCCCTCTCAGGTTCCTGGGATGGAACCCTTCGTCTTTGGGATCTCACAACGCAAGTAGTTGCTCATTTAACTCTGGGGCACTGGGAAAAAACTGGGCAGAAATGAGGTAGATGCTCTTGGGAGGTAGTTTCTAAGGGACAGTGAAGTTCGTTGTGGGAACTGTAAGGCAGGGAGTTCTTAGGGAAGATAGTTGGGTTGTTTGGCTTCCATCCTTGCTCCTTTTAATTAGTTTCACAGAATTGCTTCAGAGTGGGCTGGTTGAGCAGTTTTGCCACATACTGTGGTTGAGAGTAGGCAAGGATTTGAACAGTTTTATCTTGGGAGCTCAGTCTTTGGATGGTCAGGCACAATGGAGGATCCTAGTGATGACAGAAGACATTGTCAGCCAATTCCCACGTGGGAGTGAGGACATGTCCTGCAATTCTGAAGGGATTCTCTGACACATGCTCAACTACAGGCCTGTTGTGATCAGACCCATATCCACGGTCATGTGAGTAATGGCAGCTCCAGTAAGACCAGGGAAACAGTCTGATGTGGAAGAATGTTTGCAGAGTCTAGAGACTGACCAAGTCCTCCTCTTCAGGGGTACCACCACACGCAGATTTGTAGGACATACCAAGGATGTGCTGAGCGTGGCTTTCTCGTCTGACAACCGCCAGATTGTCTCTGGCTCCCGAGATAAAACCATCAAGCTGTGGAATACTCTGGGTGTATGCAAATATACTGTCCAGGTAACCGTGAAGGCACATGCAGAAAGTACATGAAGATTCTCTCCTACTCTTCTTAACTTTGGCATTATGTAGTGATTTCAAGCCTGGCTTGGGCTCTAAAGGGGTTCTGTTAATATTAAAGATTTGGGTTCTGGAGATGGTAGTGCAAAGCCATCAGTATACCTGCTATGTAACTGAGGGGAGGGGGGAGGGGTCTAGTTTCATGGGACAGGATAGTTTCTCCTTATTTCTTTTGTGTCCTCTGTAGGATGAGAGCCATTCGGAGTGGGTGTCTTGTGTCCGCTTTTCGCCCAATAGCAGCAATCCCATCATTGTTTCCTGTGGCTGGGACAAGCTAGTCAAGGTGAGCTTGGAGTCAGGGTGTAGGGCCTTTACCAGCCAGAATGTGTTCCCATTGCCTCCTAGGTGGTCATAGGCTCTAACTTTGAAAGTTTTGTCCTTCAGTTGACGTTTCCTATTGCTATTTTCTGAGTGTTAGTTTTGATACTTGGTGTGAAGTAGCTAATTGAACCAATATCCCTTGGAAAGCAAGGCATTTGTTACCTTTTTTATTTAATCTTGATTGTCCTTAGGTGACCAAGACAAATTCTTTAACATTTCTTGTTACTGCTAGAATGAAAAATGGCCACCATATCCAAAAATGCGTTTAAAGAAGGTGCCATGCCTTTGTTCTGAGCCCTCCTGACCGGAGCCAGGTTTTTCACCTATTACCCCCCACCCTCCCAAATCTAGGTATGGAACCTGGCAAACTGTAAGCTGAAGACCAATCACATCGGCCACACGGGCTACCTGAATACTGTGACAGTGTCTCCAGATGGATCCCTCTGTGCTTCTGGAGGGAAGGTATTAAGGAGCTGAGAGTATTTTACTCAATGGGGGTAGTGTTTTAGAAAGAATACTTAAGATAATGAGGTAGCAATCCACGAGTAAATTTGTGAAGATTGTTTTCTAAAATAACACAGATAAAGCATACCGTTTAAAAGGTTTTCAGTAAAGCTGGTTTCTTAAAGGTTTTTGGTATTATTTGGGTTCTGTTTTCATAACTTATTGTAGCGATTTTAGAAGTTGTCAGGGCCTTGGTAGGGTTGATGAGGTGTCACGCATTAAAGTAATGGCATACAGAGATCAATAACTGGTATTTGAATCATTAGCTTTTGGGAAACTGTGAGAGGGAGGTAAGAATTAAGACCGAATCTTGAGACAGTTGAGATTAACTCCTGGAATAGGTTTCATATTGTCCTGACTCCCCTTCCCTATCTTCTCAGGATGGCCAGGCCATGCTGTGGGACCTCAACGAAGGCAAACACCTTTATACTCTAGATGGTGGGGACATCATCAATGCCCTGTGCTTCAGTCCTAACCGATACTGGCTCTGTGCCGCCACAGGCCCCAGCATCAAGATCTGGGTGAGTGTGGGCTACAGTTGAGGCCAAGTGCCTGGCTGTACTCTGTGAGCCATGGCAATGTTGTGATTTCCTGATACGTTACTGCTGGGATTTGAGCTTCTAACAGCTGCTGTCATCAGGCTAACAGTGGATATCAAGAGCAAGTTACAACTTCCCAGGATTGGGATTTGCAGTGGTGCCAGATGCTTGCCTACTAAGGGGCATCGCAAATTACAGCAGTTTACTCAATCTCAGCATAGCTGACCTGTTTGTTGGTTCTGATGGGGGTCAGGGGAGGCAGTCCTATGCATTTTAGGCTATTTAGCAACATCCTTGGCCTCTATTTTCTAGATGCCTCTAGCAGAATCCCTCCTAACCTTGATTTTGCCCCTTTCCTAGGACTTGGAAGGCAAAATCATTGTAGATGAATTGAAGCAGGAAGTTATCAGTACCAGCAGCAAGGCAGAGCCACCCCAGTGTACTTCTCTGGCCTGGTCTGCTGATGGCCAGGTAAGTGGGTCTCTGGTTAAGTTACTCAGCTTCTACCTTCTCTCCCCCTTTATGCCCTTGGAGTGTCTTTGACATAAAATGAAATGACAAAATTAGCCAGGTTTGAGAGGACCAAATTACCTCTGCCAGTGAACAGAGTAATGTTCCTGCATTGGAAGAAAACTTGATCTAATAGGCAGTAATTACCTACCTTCAGTTAACACTTTGAATAACTTAATCATATTGTAAGAGTGTAAGTGCTTGCTTACTACCAGCTGTTGTTTTGCCTAAGAATACATAGAGCCTACAACCTGGTGGTTAGAAGATTGGGGGTCTTAAAAGAAGGGCCATCTTTATAACTAGGAATTCAGAGTTCCGTGGCTCTGACATGACGTATCACTGTCATTTCCCCCTTGCAGACTCTGTTTGCTGGCTACACGGACAACCTGGTGCGAGTGTGGCAGGTGACCATCGGCACCCGCTAGAAATACATGGCAGAGCTTTGGAAATAAAACATTGATTTGCTTTTAGTGTCTTTCTCTGATAACCAAAAAACTACTTTCTAATGCTATGTTGCATCACAATGTCCTGTGCCTAAGGTGTAGGTCCTTTGGGTCTCCCTTAAGCCTGGAGAAAATGTTCCTTGGGAATAGTAAAATCTCAGTTCCAACTTATAACATAAGAAATAACTGAATAGACATTTTGCTATTCCTGAAGGTAATATAAAATATTCTGAAACTTAGTATAGTCTGTCAAGTTGTGTTTGTTAAAATGGAGATTTATGGAGATTTTTTGAACCCTTCATCTATGGTAAGGAAACTCTTCCCAAAAGTTGCTGCTTAAGATTTACTCCCTCCATTGTTGGAGATTAAAAATTATATAGTCTGAAGGTATTCATGAGTACAATCATGGCTGGCTTTTTCTCAGGTAGTGGCTAAGTAACAAAAATAAGTAGCATGTTGAAGTAGCTGTACAGAATCAGTTTCCTTTTCCATCAACTCCTAATGGTGACAAGGCCTTTCTGACTTTAGCTTCCATTTTCTGGGATTTCAGCCAGATGTAATCACATGGAAAGACTTAAGAAATGTAAAGATTCTTGGGAAAGCCAGAATCCTAAAGCCTCAAAGCAGTGATAGACAAGGAGTGGCAAACAATCTTAAAGTGCATGCTGAAGAGGGTGCCAGTTAAAACTATAGGCTATTCAAATGGGGTGAGAGAATGAATGCCCTAATCTGTGGAGATAATATGAGTTGTGCAAAAAGCAAGATATGGGGAAAGTACAATCAGTCCTCATTTCTGTGACATCACATTGGAGGGACTGGCTTGCTGTGTAAGAAACCCTGGCTCTACATCCTATTTTTGCCCACCTTAAGGAAAGGACTCCACAAAAGAAGCAAATAATCTTTTTATTGCCACAACACAACCCGTCTTCCCTTTCCCCCATAACAGAAGTTGACCTCCGCCATCAAAGCAAAGGACAAAAGCTGACAAGTGACAGAAGGCAAGGGGTTACTAGAAAAATAGATTATACCCAAGGCTCTCCTGGGGATCCAAACCCCTGTCCCCAGGCTCCAGTCAGGGATCACCAGATGGAGAGAACTAAAGACATGAGGCTGGATACTGACACAAGGAACTTCATTGGACAAAGGGGAAAGGAGCCTGGCAGTGAAAAGATCTGGAGGGGCTGGGTGGGGTGAGCTTTACTCCTAGTGTGAGTGCTGGAAGAAGGATGAGGGAGAAAATAATTTATTGGGTAATACAATGGTATGTAGTTTCAATCATGTCGACCATTCCAGATCTCAAGCTAAATTCTGGCCAGTCTATGGAGGTAGAAGTTGGGGATGAAAGGAGTCTAGAATCCCTCCTACTTCCCCAGAGAGTAGACATTTATTACTCAGCTCTACCCTTTTGCCTAACCTGCCTCCCCCAAAAGCTTCCAAATCCCTTAGCTAAAATTTGCATCAGAAAATGGAATTGGAATGGGGACAGACAGGAGTCTTGCCCAAATATCCCAGCCTGAGAATTGACACGGTGAAAAGTAGGGGCAGGGAAAGGGAAGTTAAATAATGGAGTTAAATTTCCCCTCCACCCTTACTCAAAACTCGGACCCTGGGTGGACAGGGAAAAAAAACCAGGCAGCTGTTCTCGTCAGGGACCCATGCAGACCTGTTGGACAGACATTGCAGGTGAGAGAAGGCCGAGCTGGAGGCCAGGAGGGTTCTTTAGGCTCCTAGAGGGAGAAGTGGGCCTCGAGTCAAAGGGAAGCGGGGAACAACAAACAGTGGAAGGAGCCTTTGAGCCCCCAAACTTATGGGACACCCTCCACCACCACCCGCCCCTCAAGTGCTAATCAGAGGGGCCCCTGCGGGTGGCAGGCTAATCAAGGGCAGAGCTTGATACGGGTGCCCTTGGAGAGCACCCGAAAGAAAGGGAAGACACGCTCGCCCAGGAAAGCAGCTGAGAAGGTATGCACATGGGCTAGAGTCTCCGCATTGTAGAAGCCCAGGCGCCCAGCCTCATAGTCCAGGTACACGCCAAAGCGCCGCGGTTTCTCACTTGGGCTCAGCAGTGTCTGCTCCGTTGAGCTCTGGGCCTGGTAGCGTTTGCCGTTGGTGCCCACACACCACACTTCCCGCTGGAGCAGGGGCTGTTGGGGTAGGTGGAGCCGGCGGCGGCGATGGTGATGGCGCGAGGAGCTGGCATCCCCACTGCCCACAGAGGACCCCCCAGAGCCAACCTTCTCCTTATGATGGGTCGATTCACGGGCAGCGCCCACTGCCCAACCCCGCCGCCCGCCCACCTCTACCTCCCAGTAGTGCCGGCCAGAGCGGAAGCCTTGGGCCCCCAATACGCAGCAGTCAGCTGAAAAGCGCTTGGAATGGTCAGCAACCTCCTGCCGCCGCTCTGCAAGGCGGACCCCCCGGCGGTCAGGGGAGAGCATCAGAGCCGGGTGAGCTGTGTCAGGGTCCAGCGTCAGGTCCACTTGGGGAGGGGGGAGGACAAATATGCCAGGGCTGGAACAACTGTTCCCCATCAGTAGCCAACTCCAAGATTCAGCCTTTCCTGATGCCCTCCCCTTTGTCTCCCTCCCTTCCTGCCTTCCAGTGGTCCTCACCCCACCCCATCTTAGAGGCCAGACTTCAGTTCCTATGGGCTCCAACTCTTTCCCCACTCTTGTTTTCAGGACACTAGACAGGTCTTCCCTCTGGCCCTGGCTCTTGCTATCCACCCTCCATTCCCACCATCAACACCTACCTGGGCTAGGACAAAAACTACTCTTGGCTTGAAGCCCCAAGCGGCCTACCTGTATCCTGCTCCACCTCAGACACAATCTCCCCCCCGTCCCCCACCCCTGCCCCAGGCCCAACTTCCCCCCAGAACCCAATCTCAGGTCTGTGAAGGGAAAGGAAAAGGAAGGTCGTACAGGTGACCTCCCTACCTCGAGCAGCCTGACAGAACATCCGGCTCATTTTCCTCACGATGGCATCTGTCAAGAAGTCATGGCTATGGGGTTGACACGGGTCAGGGGACCAGACCTCTGGGGGTTGCAGCTGTACCTCTTCACACCTGGAGGAAGGGGACCGGGCAGGGGGTGGGACCATGATATTCCCAGAGGGAAGAGCAGAAGCTGAGGGGAAGGAGAGGAGGGTCCAGGAGGCAGAAACTCGGGTCCTGGGGAAGGAAGGAAAGGAACGGGATATCCAAGAGAGGTAGGGATGGGGAACCAGATGCCACTGGGTCACAAAGGATAAAGGGTGGCAACACACCTATTGAAAGTCTCCTTGATGTCCTGGGAATAACAGAAACAAAAAGAGGGAGAGGGAAAAAGAGACAAAGAGAGAGTCAGCTGCACAGAGACAGCTCCTTTCTCCCAATATGATTCCAGCCAGAGAAAGGACTGAACTTGAACAGGGAGTAAGAAAAAGCACCCTCAAGACCCTCAATAAGTGTGTATCCATCTCAATCATCCCTATGCCCTAGCACACTTATCTCATCCTGCTGTGAGACCAATAATGGAATTTTCAACCCCAGTAAAAGGATTTTCACAACATAACTTGGGCATCTTTCTCAGGATGTCTGTCAAAAATTCTTCCCTGGACTCTACTTTAAAACCCTCTTTATGCAACTGAATTTCTTTCTTTTCACTGGGTATAATCACACACACCAACATTTGGCATTAACCGTGTCTCCAGCCTCAAAAAACCCTTTGGTCTTAGGTTAAATTATCATCGGTCCTCCCAATGAGAAGAGAGGCAGCTCTGGACAGACGTTTGGTAAGCACTGCCTGACAGAGCAAATACAGGGTGCTGGGGGGCAGGTGGGGAGAGACAGGGGAGGGGGAACTGCTCACCTGGAGCAGCCGCAGTCCCCCCTGCTGGCTCCGCTCCTGGGCCTCTGCCAGCAGGCGGCTCAGCTGGGCAGCCTGCTCCGCCAGGCGGCTGGCCGCTGCTCCTGCACGCCCTAGCTGGGCTTCGTGCATCTCTCGGAGGCGCCGCTCCAACCCTGCCTGCTCTTCAGCCAGAAACCGTGTCAGCCGCCCGAACTCCGAGGCCACAGCTGCCAGCTCTGACTTCATCTGGCTCTGGGATGATGCAAAGGGGATGGTGGATACCACCTCAACACACAGAAACATAAACTTCCAATTTTGCAACTGCTGCCCCACAGTCCAAGGTAATGGAGCTCTGCATCCCAAATGGAAAGAGGCCCCTATCCCTTCCCCAACCTCCCAGCCTTACCAGGCACCATTCCCACACTCCCAAGCACACTGGTCTCAAACTTGCTAACTTCTGCCTGCAACTTATCTCCACCCTGGCTACCTAACTTGATTCATTCTTCAGGTCTAAATTTAAAAACACTCCCTGAGAGTGGTGCCTGGGTAGCCTGAGTATTAAAAATACTCCTCTCAGGGAGTATTTTTAAATTTAGTTGGTTAAGCATTCAACTTTGGCTCAGGTTGTGATCTTATGGTTTGTGAGTTCAAGCCCTGTGTTGGGCTCTGTGCTGACGGCTCAAAGCCTGGAGCCTGCTTCAGATTCTGTGTCTCCCCCTCTCTCTGCCCCTCCCACGCTCATGCTCTGTCTCTCTCTGTCTCTCGATAATAAATGAACGTTTTAAAAAAAAATTTTTTTTAATTCCCTGAGAGAAGCCTTCCCTCCCCGCCAGATCTAAATCAGAACCACCCCCATAAATATCGTATCTTTCATAAATATCAATATATGTCTTAATGGCATTAACATCTATTTGAAATGTAGTTTACATTTAAGTATCTTTTAACATCCTTTTCCACCACTGCATAAGCTGTTTGCCACAGGGTCCTCAGACCCCAGAACACCACCAATACTTAGTTAAGAGGTTTTTTTTGCAATGAATAAATTAAAAATTCAGGAATAAAGATATGAAGTTAGGGTCTTGACTATACCACTAATGACCTTGGAAAAGTCACCTAATCCTTCTAGATCAGGAGTCTAGCAAACTTTCTCTGCAAATGGCCAAATGTTACTTTACACTTTAAAAGCCAAGAGGCTAAATCATGGATACCATTGTGTAGGTACTTTATGCATAATCAGAGAAAACTTCTGCCTACTCTCAACCCATTTGCCTGGCCTGGACAATCCCAGATAGTGAGCATGCTTTTCACCTAGGTATCATCAGCTAGAGACATTCTTGGAACAAAGAGGGACAGGCCAGAGTGGAGAAGGAAGTTCTGACTGGCCAAGTAGGTGAAGGAAAGTCAGCTTTACTCTCTGTCCCAGTGACACTCATATCCTGACATCTCTCTGCATCCCAGGACCCCAGAAGTCTCAATCTGAGCATCTGGCTAAGAGGACTCTCTGACTCCTAGACCCAGATTCCACTCAATGTGTGACAATTGCCAGCAGTAGAGTCCCTAATGTGTAGGTGGCAAAAAAAAATAATCACAAGCTTTGGGAAGTGGCAAGACCCACCCACTGGCCAGGGTGGTAGGCGTGGGAAAGATGAGGGAAGAGGTCGGACAAGAAAGCTATCCTGGCTTGGTGTCCAAAGCCAGGCCATTCCAGTTTCTGCTGATCTTACAAAAACAGGTAGAGTTGGGGGTTGAGCTGATGGTATTACAGAAAAAATATCTAAAAATAATCCTTGGGGAGAGGTGATCAATTAAGAAAAACAACTGAGAAACATTGGACTAGAGAAGACCAGGTCTCTGTAACTTTCACAAGTTCCTATCCTCCACTAAATACCATGCCCCCCAACCTCCTGTCAGGCTCACGGCTGCTCTGCCTACCACCTACCATCCGTCCTGGGACCTGGAGCTTCTCTGATGGCTGTTATGTGGATTTTGCCTTGCCCACTTCTGCCTTCTGTGCTATCCAGCCTGGTGGGCACACACCTTGAAGTGAGGTGTCTGGGGTGGGAAGCCTGTTCTGCAGCCTTGGGCCAAGGACCCAACCTCTCCGCACTAGAACTATTTCTATTCCATTTTGGAACTTAGGAACAAACATGCCCCCTGACCCTCTAAGGCCCCTCACTCTTCAGGACCCTGGGAATGTGTCTACCTCTCTCCCAGGCTCCTCTTCAGGGAATCTTGTCACCACCTGTGAAAGTAGGCAGCCCATCTTCCCTGCCCTGATCACAGAGCCAGTAAGCCCTATCAAGGACATTCACCCACCTTCAGTTCTGTCACCCGCCTCTCCTCCTTGGCCTTCATCTTCTGCACAGCCTCTAGATGCTTCCTCAGTGGTTCCACATGCCCCTGCAGTTTGGCCTGAGGGAGTGAGAAAAGGAAGGTTAGAAGCCTGGGACAGGAGAGGCACCTGCTTTCAGTGCCCACTTCCCCCACCCTCTCTGCATTGGGTTAGGGCTCAAAGCCTGATCCCCATCACAAGTATCAGACGAGCATCATACTCTCTTCCTCCCCTTCCTTCTCTTCAGATGATGACAAAGGCCTCCAACCCTCTGCCTGCATTCATATAAAGAAGCCCTGAGTGTGTTATCTATAGGTAGGATCCTGATGACTACAGAGCCCCATACCCGGAGCTGGGGTGGACCTGGCTTGAGCCCCTCACCATATAAGGTCCTTCCATATGAATGTTCCAGCCCTTATCAGTAATCTTCCTCATAACTTTCGTTTCTAAATACTTCTCTGATGATTTTGTACCTGTGCTAAAGATCTTTCAGTGGTTCTCCACCACCTACAAAATATGAGGTGCTCTCATTCCCTCTACATTTCTAGCCTCCTCTACTACATTTACCTCTTCTGACCTAGACTCTTAGTTTTAGCCACAAAAAAATTCCTGTCTTTTCTTGAGTGTAATTCCATTATCTTCATCCAGGCTGTTTTCTCTTCCTGGCATTTCCTTTCTCCACCTGGCCCAGGGCAGTCTTCCTTTAAAATACTAGCTACCTAGTACCATGGTTCTCCCTGCCCCCAACTTCTTCCGTCATCCCAAGGGACATTTACAATACTTCCTAAACACTATAATGATTTTTCAGTATGTCTCTGCCAGAACACAATGGCTCCTTATGGGGCAAGGGCGCCACTTTACATATTTTAATTTCTATGCCTGTCCATATGCTTTCTCTCTCATTCAATTACTTACTAAATGGGAAATAAGGGGCACCTGGGTGGCTCAGTCAGTTAAGCATCGGACTCTTGGTTTTGGTTCAGATCATGATCTCAGTTTGTGGTTCAAGTCCTGAGTAGAGCACAGGGCCTACTTTGGATTCTCTCTCTCCCCCTCTCCCTGCCTCACCCCAGCACAAGATCTCTCTCAAAATAAATAAACTTTAAAAAGAAAATTATTAGGGCACCTGGGTGGCTCAGTTGGTTGAGCATCCGGCTTTGGCTCAGGTCATGATCTCACAGTTCATGGGTTCGAGCCCCCGCATTGGGCTCTGGTGCTGACAGATCAGAGCCTGGAGCCTGTCTTCGGATTCTGTCTCCCTCTCTCTCCGACCCTCCCCTGCTCATGCTGTTTCTCTCTCTCAAAATAAATGAAGGAGTTTTAAAAAAAAATTTAAATAAATAAATAAAAAGAAAATTATTACTGGGGCACCTGGGTGGTTCAGTTGGTTGAATGTCCAACTTCACCTCAAGTCATGATCTCACTGCTCCCTAGCTGAATGCTGTGCTGACAGCTTAGAGCCTGGAGCCTGCTTCGGATTCTGTATGTGTGTCTCTCCCCCTTCCCTGCTCACACTCTGTCTCTCTCTCTCTCTCTCAAAGGTAAATACACATTAAAAAAACATTTCAATTATTTTTAAATAAATATAAAGGGAAAACAAAACTCTCTCTTCCTAAGACTTTAACCTTCACAGTAAATATGCACTTGAGCTCTATGTTCCAATCCCTTGTAAGGGTATCTTTTCCTTTTTTTTTTCTTTTTAATTTTTTTAATGTTTTATTTATTTCTGAGAGAGAGAGACAGCGTGAGCATGGGAGGGTCAGAAAGAGAGGGAGACACAGAATCTGAAACAGGCTCCAGGCTCTGAGCTGGCTGTCAGCAGAGAGCCCGATGCTGACAGCATCGAACCCACGAACCGCGAGATCATGACCTGAGCCGAAGTCGGACGCTTAACCAACTGAGCCACCCAGGCGCCCCTCTTTTCCTTTTTAAAATGTTTATTTATTTTGTGAGAGAGCGTGAGCAAGGGAGGGGCAGACAGAGAGAGAAAGAGAATCCTAAGCAGCTTCCCTGCCCCCAGACGTGGGGCTCTATCTCATGAACAGGGAGATCTTGACCTGAGCTGAAATCAAGACTCAGGAGGCTTACCCAAATGAACTGCCCAGGCACCCCCAGAATCTTTTTCTTTGGGACCAGAAATAGGCCCAAGCTGATTTCTTTCTTTTTTTTTTTTTATGTCTCCTATGACTACTGCCTTTTTCCTTTAGGGGTGATACAGAGCAGAAGAACTCAAGCCTAAACTCCAATCTAAACCTGAATGTAGCCATGTGACCTGAAGCAAGTAACACTTCCAATTTCCTTATCTTACATGGGAATTGGGAATAACAGAATGCATATTATGGACAGTACACTTCACACAATGTCTGGCACATGGTAAAGATCAATAAATGTTATCTAGTATTCTCTACCTATGTCTAAACTGCCAGTGACAACCTGATAACGACCCTTGAACTAAAGAGGTTACTGACCCAGAGAGAGTACAAAAGGCAATGGTTGTTGTACACAGGATGAGTGGTTCTAGAAAAAATTACATTAATAATATTATAATCACTCCCTAACATGAAAGTAGCATAAACTACAAAAACTTTTGCTTTTGATATTATCTTCTATTTTTCTCCAACCCTATTCAGAATATTTAGTTTACCATTTAATATTTTTCATAAATTACTGGCAAATTTATAAGCACAAATCCAAACAATACTATTTAAGAGAAATTTTCAAGCGCTTTCACCTTTTTAGGAGCTTTATTTATACATCCATATAATTACCTATTCAATAAAGAAATATTTCTACAAAACAACACTGTTCCAAACTAGCACTAGTTAGTGTACATATTTGAAAGGAATAAACTATCTACTTATAAAGTAACCTGTAAGTTAAAAAAAAAGAATCACTCAAATTAGTTCTAAATAATAAAATTTATGTATTTACATTTGCTGATAAGTTAACGCTAGATTATTTGCATCTATGTGACCTCCTCAAATTGCAGAGCCCTACGAGACTGGCATACAACAGATGTGGCTAACACAAATTCACATATTAAAATCCAGTTTCAGAAGCCCTTCAGAAGAGTCCTATAGGAGGACGGTGAAAAAGGGTGGAATGCCCATGAATAGTCCATCCCAACATTTAATTAACAAACTGCCCATTGATGAGTAGAGTTAAATAGGAGCCAAAAGGAGATTTAAAAAAAGGACAAAAGGAAATCACAACCTCACCTAATAACCAGAGCTTAAACAACAGGTAATGTTACCAATGCAGTGATTCCAATGCTAGGCTGGGCTTTCTTAAAGTTACTCTCCCTGTCTCTGACTCAGAATTTCTAGTGGCAGGGCCCACTGTACTTATGAAAACTCCCTTAGTTGGATAGTGACTTGTCATAAGAGGATGTAAGATTGTCTTAGCTGTACTACTCATTGCTTCTAAGCTATGTTACTCTAAATTTAGAGTTACTCTACAATTGGGGTAATGCACTGACCACATAGGAGCTACCCTCTATTTCTCCTGGTCCCACTGTTTCAAACCCAAACCAGGCTTCACTAAGTGGTGCTATTTGTGTTGGCTGTCTCACAGACCAATCTTCTTTACCTATATCCCAAAGGAGTAAGAGCCAGAAGTAAGGTGCAAAGTATTAACCAAACTAGAATCAGACTCCAAGAAGTCACATGTCAGGAAAGTCTACAACAGACATCTATATGGTGGTGACACTGTTAACAGCATGCAAGGGCATGGGGGCAGGTCATAACCAAGTCCATCACCTACTAATAGCTATGTGGCCCTGTGTGTATTACTTAATTCTATTTCCTAACCTGTAAAACAGGGACAGAAATCGTATCAAACTTACAGGATTGTTTGAAGTTTTAAATGAGATAGTTCATGAAAAATGCTTAGTACAGTGCCTGGTGTACATAGTAAGTTACCTGTTCGGTAAATATTAACTTTTAATCCTGGTGAAATTAAAGTTAGAGATGCCTAGGTGAGTAAGTGCAGAGCCTGGTCTTCTGACTTAAAAGCTGCTCCCTTTTATCTGCATTCTCAGGAAAGGTAAGAGCCTCTTGTCAGTACATCAGACTGATGCAGACCTAATAAAAGTCCTCAGGGACAGAACCAAGCCATATCATGGGGTAGGTGAAAACCCATTAAAAGACAACTGCAGGGCATGTGGGTCTGACACTAGTAGTCATTCCTAAACTTCTGCTCCTTGGGGCCCTTTGCTGTTGAGGCCCCAAGCCCTTCCCATCTTTAGGGGTCTGAGTCAAGAAGAGACTGAAGACTCACCCAGAGGAAAATGAGACTGATGGTAAAGACTGAGGGGCCTGTCACCTGTACTCCTACACTTAGGGACAACGGAAGTGTGAAACAGCAGTGGCTTTCCCCAAGAGATGCAGCCCAGTGATACAGCATCCCCAGCCTTGCCCAAATTTTTTGAGGAAGTGGGTCTTCCCTTATCTTCTACACAGGTCTGCTTTGTCTGTGTACAGGATCCTTCTCACTCCAAACCACCTTGATGCCAGTAAATGCTTAGAAAAGGAGAATCAGCTCATCAGTGCATGAAGTCCTGGGGAGTGGGATGGGACATATTTCCTTTTCCCAGTTCCTCTCCACTCCCAATAAACTCCCATCTTTTACTTCTCTCACTTTGTATTCCTGCACCACCTCCTCCAATGGCACCATACTGTGCTGTTTGTGGCTCCTGGATTCTCGGCACACCACACAGATGGCCTCTTCATCCACCTCGCAGAAGAGCTTCAGGGCTTCCTGGTGTTTGGGACAAATGCCCTGCTCGTTCCCACGGCTCCCTCGACCAGGAGTTGGGTGCATCTGTCGAATCACCTGGACCATGTTGGCCAGCTGCAGGTTGGGGCGGAAACTCCTCCTGGGAAAGCTCTTTCGGCACTGGGGGCAGGTGAAGCACCTCCGAGGGGCTGGAGGCGGGGGCAGTGGGGTGACGGGGTCTAGCTCCTCTTCCTCGTCCTCCTCCAGCACTTCCTCCTCGTCCTCCTCGTCCTCCCCTCTCAGGTCCTCCTCCATGTCCCCCAAGTAGTAGTCCAAATCTTCCTCCTCGTCCTCCTCCTCCCACACGTAGTCCATGTTGTCCCAGTTGGACCCGCCCATGCCACTGGTCCAGAACACACCCTCCTCTTCCTCCTCGACCTCCTCCTCCATGTCGCCCTCATAGTCTTCATCCCTCATGGGGGTATCCCACCCCCCACCGGCCCCCACAGCCTCCACCTCCTCCTCCTCTCCGTCCTCCTCTTCCTCCTCCCGGTCTAACTCATCCCTGTCCTCCTCATCCTCCCCTCCCCACAACTGGGTTACACACACTCGGCAGAAGTTGTGCCCGCAGCCGATGGACACGGGGTCCGTGAAGTAATCGAGGCAGATGGCGCACACCGCCTCCTCCTGAAGGGTCTGCACAGGGTTGGGTGCCATGGCAACGGCAGCCATCTTAGTGTCCAGTCAGCCAGTGTAGATGGGCGGTGGGGGGGTGGGGGCGGGGGTCTTCCCACTCAGATGCCCTGACGACCCTGCCCCACCCCCACCCCACCCCTCCACACCTTTCCTCAATCGCAGACACAGAAAGCTCCGCCCGACAACCCACCCCTCCAGAGTTCCCTACTCCTAGACGACAACCGTGTCTCTGCGAGGGGACGGGACAGAGCTGACCGCTACAGCCAAGTCCCTCAGGTGGCCCTGAGTGCAAATCTGTCCCAACGCTCCCTTGGCCTCCTCATAAACCCCCGCCCCTCCTCACTTCCTGGCCCCGCCCCCTCACTTCCGGCCACCCCTTCAACACTTCCGGTGTCTGCGAGTCACCCAAGCTCGCGAGTTCCCTCCGCGGCGGCGCTACGCCCCTTTCTTTCCTCCCGGGCCCCTGGGCGACAGGAAACGGCGAGGAGACGCTCTAGCAGGCACACGGGAACAGGACGGGAGGGCTAGAACGATGGAGGCCCACGTCTCTGTAATACGAAGGAGCAGGGAACGCGGACGACCTGGAAAGACCGGCCTCCCCCATCCCCCGCCACTGGGAATAAACTTTGGGGGAAGGTGGAGGCTCTTAACGGCCGTCCGTTCTCGGCGGTATGACCGCGTCGGCCCGGCGCCATCCTACTAACCGGACAAGGAGGACAGCGCCAGGGACTCCCCACAGCCGATGCCGGAAGCGGAGGGGCGGGTCCCGGTGTGCGCCCTCAAGTACTTCCGGCCCTTCTAGGCTGAAGACTTAGTTGTTTGGGAATTCAGAATTCCTCGGAGAGGAATCTGGAAGGCGACCGGAGATCTTCCCCAAATTCCCTGCTATAGTTGGTATTTCTGCACGCATTTTAGAAACTGCCGCCTGGTCACTCTCGTATCGTTTAGATGAACTTTTCTAACTGCCTATCAATAAAGGAATAGTGAAATCATTACATAAACATTCACACAGTGGAACACTGTTTAGCTGTAAAAAGGGAATCCTTCACAATGTACTCTGAAGTGAGAAAAGCAAGGTGATGAAAAGTGTAGAAAAAGAGGAGGATGTTAAAAAGGTATTTGATATCTTTGCAGTCCTGTGTTTACTCGTATAAAATAGTTGCCATCAGAGGGTTTTGTGAAATAAGAGTTAACACAGTTTCAAAGCTATCTTACTTAACAGATAGTTAAGTCATTCAGCACTTTCAGAGTGGGCACCATGCATGCTCTGCGTCCAGACCACCTCGAGGTCTGTCTTCATGGAGTCTCAGTGTAAGAGCATGGGCTCAAATTGGGTTTGTGGCATTAATTTCTTTTTTTTTTTAAATTTCATCCAGGCTGTAGAACTGTCACTAAAGATGCCACTTTGGTACGTAGAGCATCTCTGAAATAGATTATTTGGGTGATTGAAATAATACTTGAGGCTTCTTTTTTTTTTTTAAGAAAAGAAAACTGCGGGGGTAGTTACAGGAACGTAATTCATGTACAGAATTCCCAATGAGTGCGGGGCGCTGCGGGATGCCAGGGCTGCGCAGGCAGAACTCACCCTGTTCTCGAGACGCTTCCCACCTAGTGGGGAAACTCCGAGTGAACACCTGCTTCCTCGGAGTGGTAGCCTGAACACCCCAAAACCACGAATCCTCGTGGGTAAACAACTGTACGAGGCCATTTCAAAAGAAGTGTGGCTACGAGACCTGAACACAGCTCAGCCGGCAGCCAAGGGAACGACTGTCACACGCAAATCTGGTCTCATTCAACCCTGTAATCTCCCCAGTATAGCTTCTAGATGGTATTAGTTACATACCAGGGGCATGAGTTTCCGTAGTGTAGTGGTTATCACGTTCGCCTCACACGCGAAAGGTCCCCGGTTCGAAACCGGGCGGAAACAGTAGCTCTTTTAGCCTCCCTTTGGTTTGGAGGGTCACCTATTTGTCCACGCTTCTGTCTCTGGAGGAGAAAGCGCTACCCTCTCAGAGAGAGAGGAACATGAGTATGTCTATTTCTCATTCTAGGAGATGCTCGTGAAGCCGGACCCCAGCAGGACGGAGCTCACAGCAGGCCCTCCACAAATGCTCCAATGTATATTGAGGTCTGGCACCTCAACAGTCTTGCCCTTCCCCAGGGAAGACCATGGGGCCACTTCTCCCAGGTTCAGGGATCCTAGGCTTCCGATCATCTTCCTAGTCTCTAGGATAATCAGACATACAGTAGCTGCTCCATAATACTTATGCAGTTACTTTCTAAAGTGTGCCATCCAAACCATGAGAGACTCTTGAATGCTGAGAATAAACTGAGGACTGATGGGTATGGAGGGGAGGGGAAGGGGGGTGATGGGCATGGAGGAGGGCACTTGTGGGGATGAGTACTGGGTGTTATATGGAAACCCACTTGACAATAAACTATTTTAAAAAATAAATAAATAAATAAATAATACTATTTTAAAAAATAAATAAATAAAATAAATAAATAAATAAATAAATAATAAATAAAGTGTAACATCATCTCTGCATTTGGATTTCAGTTTTCTAAGATAGAACCCAAGAAGCAGTCATGTGCCCAGCTAGCTCAGTCGGTAGAGCATGAGACTCTTAATCTCAGGGTCGTGGGTTCGAGCCCCACGTTGGGCGTAGCTTCTTTTGAAGGGGAAAAAGGAAGAACCTTTGATGCAAAGGCAGGCAGCAAGGTTCTCTCCAGTTCCCACACCAAGTGGGCCTCCGCATCCTTGGCCAAGCAGTAACGCAACATAAGAATGCCCCAGCCATAGGACCCTCGCTGGCCAAAAGGGAGCGAGTGAGGGCTGGGTGCTGGTGTACAAATTCCCTGGGGACCTGTTCCTCAGGCCACCACTTTGCTGAAATTCGCCCGCCCATGGTAAAAAAGCGTCTGGTGTCCAGGGCAAGCTGCGCAGGGAGGGAAGGTTACAGCGTGGCTTCGGAAGCTGCGGGGGGAGATAGGGGGTGGGGGCCTGAGGGCCACCAGAGTGGTGATCACCTAAGTGACTTAAAAGCTGGTATTCTCGAGCTTTTGACACCACCGGTTTTTATGTTTGTTTTCGTCAGGAAAGAGGTTCTCTTCCCAATCTGAGACACTCATCTTCAGCATATTCTCTTCTTAAGGGTCCATCTTTTAAATATTGCCCCACACAGAGGGGAATGTAAAAATATCCTTTATTTTGGAACACTCCAACATGAACATCCTCAGTTTACTTGTCATGAAGTTCTTCCTTAGCTTCAATTGAAATTATTTCAATTGTTAATTGGGTTTTTTTAGTCACACAAATTCAGCCTATTTTCTGTTTTCTGGACATAGAAGTCTCCTTCACGTACACGCCAGACCACAAGAGAAGTCTGCTGATCATGTAAAGCTGGTTTACTGACTAAGCAAATGATTGAATGGCCTTCAGTCTCAGAAGTATGTGGGAATTAGGGAGGGTTTCACATGACACCCTATAAGGACAGTCTGGACAGGAGTTGGTCAAAGTTTGTAAAATAGGTAGATTTGCTGGTACAGTCCTAGCTCATTCATGCCTTCCTGGAGAGTTACTCCTACTATGGTCTTATCTTGGAATTAATGGGTCTAAATCAAATTGTGTCCCAAGAGTTTCAACTTTGACATTTTCTCTTATACAAGTATGGATTTGTTTGCAAATTATGGTTTCAGGTTTGTTTGTTTGTTTGTTTGTTTAAGCCATCTTCACTGGAAATGGAAAACATTCCTTAAAAATCCTGGCTTTTCATTAAAGGGAAGCCCAGGTGGACAGGCTTCTTGGCCCATCTCCCAACAACTGGCACCACACCCTTCCAAGCTTTTTGCTACGATTCCTCCTTTTCTCTCCTCTCCACCCTTTCCACTGCTGCCTCTCCAGCCAGGCCTGGTTTGGAATGCCCTCAGATAGGTGATCCAGGCTACTCGTAGTACAAAGGAGTCAAATGTTCATCAGTTCAAAAATACAGCAAACAAAAGGAATGCTAGTAGGATCTTTGGTCTTTTTTCTCCTTGGCTATGGAGGCCATAGAGGCAGAAGGATTCACTCTGGTTTACATTCCAGAAGGATTCCTTTAGGAATGATGACCAGGACGTGTGACAGGAATAAGACTGCATTAGATAGAGGAACTGGACGGACACAGCCATGGTCTAGAAAGGAAGTGGCTGGCCTGGCAGTGGCAAAGCAGCAGCCAGAAAGGAGAAGCATCAAGGAGGTGCATTGTTTATATTTGGACAGGAGAGGGAGCTCCCAGTTTTCTGCTTTAGATGGTTTAGTACAGAGACCGTGTGTAAAAGTACTGGCAACACTGACCCCACCTTTAGCCCTCCACCCTCTTCAAACCAGGCAATGACTTCCCTCCCACTACGTGTTCCACTGCCCTGGAGGTTAATGTATTCCCTGACTGGAATTCGGGAAAGCCTGTTCTGATCTTCCCTGAAGTGGCACACAGAAGGCATCAATTTAGATAACTACCCTATGACCTTACTGCCATGTCCCTCACAACATAAAATCTAGGGATTAAGGTCTGGACTGGGTGAAGTATAGCTGTGGAGAATGTGGACGAAGAATAGCCTGGTATGGCCTGGGTGGTCTGTGCTCAGCCATTCTCCCTTTCAGTAAGTTACTCTGAATAAAACTCTGTGAAAGCAGTAATGGAATAGCTTGCTTCCTTTTTTCCATCTTAATGTGCCTTCTCAATTTAGAGGATGCTTGTACTGACTTTTAACCTTCTAACACTGAGGAGTGGGGTGGGGTGGGTGAGCTGGAAGTAATAAGTTCAGTCTCGAACAGGTTGGGAGATGTCTAAAAGGTCTTGTCCAAGAAGTGGATTTGTGGGGGTTTCTTTGCTGTTTTTTTTTTTTATTTTTAAATATTTTTATTTATTTCTAAGAGAGAGACAGCGTGAGCAGGGGAGGGTCAAAGAGAGAAAGAGATACAGAATCTGAAGTAGGCTCCAGGCTCCAAGCGGGCTGTCAACACAGAGCCCGACGCGGGGCTTGAAACCACGAGCCGTGAAATCATGACCTGACCCAAAGTCCGACGCTCAACGGACTGAGCCACCCAGGTGCCCCCAAAACATGTGGATTTGAAACTTGGGGAGAGTGGTCATTGCTGGAGCCATAGACGTAGGGGTAGAGGCTGAGTCAAACTGTCAATCGGGACGTGACTCTATAGAGAGATGGCCTTCTGTAGATGGAGAAGAGTCGAAATAGGAGTAAAGCTAGCAGCGAAGCTTCCACTGAGGCCAAGGGAGTTGCAAAAAAGGAGGGACAGATCGGTAGAGTCAAGTTCCAT